CAGACAGTTCCACGGGCCAGGCCCGCCCCTCCTGGGAAAGCTGTCGGCTCGGGTGCGGTGGCTTCAGTTCCGGGAAGCGTTCACTCGCAGGTCGCAGCGCGCAGGTGTGGTCGGGGTTTGGCGCTTCCTCTTGACGCGAATCCATGCTCCCTGGAGTTCGGCGGCACGCAGGCAGCTGTGTGCCTGACGGGCTGCTCCAGGGAGATTGAAGAGTCTGTCTTTCCTGAGCTGTCCTTTCCAGTACACAAAGCCAACAGGGTGCAGAGTGTGGGGTTTGGGGTCTTCACCTCCTTGGAGCGCGGGGAAAAGCCTGCTCCGCCGCAGCAGGCCTACTCCACCGGGGGCAGGTAGCGCCGTGCGGTGCTGAAGGGTGTCTCCCTTCATCGCCTGCGTTTGCAGACAGGCAGGACCCAGACAGACGCACGGGGCGCCCCGTAATCACCGCAAAGGTGAGTTGGTGACCCCCAAAGGAGTGGGTCTGAAGCTGAGAAGGGACCCACAGCGACAGCGATGCTGTTGGCCAAGGCGTTTGCAGGGCCTCGGCACATTCTGCCAAGGGAAACGCTAGGCGGCCAGAGCGGAGGGCCGAGGGCGGGGAGCGGGCGGAAGTGTCAAATCTGCCCCAGGGCAGGCTGGGAGGGGGGCACGTGACCCGGAAACGAGGCCCCTGGGTCCCGGAGGAATGCAAGGGCGGCTCCCCGGGTGGGCTCGCCTTCCCTGGAAGGACTTCAGCCACGGCAGACGCAGCAGCCTGTCTGCAAGGGGCAGTTTCAGTCCAGCGAGGAAAACCTGCGCACCGCGACGAAGGCTCGTTTACACCCCGGCGACGGGGGAGCCGTGCAGAACCCATCCACCCAGACCTGCGTGGTCCGTGGGGCAACTCGAGGTGCCCAGGGCCGCGCGCGCAGGCTTTCCTGGGTGGCACTTTGTCCCTCGCCCCCACTTCTGCTGCTGGTTCTCGACCGGTCTCCTGTCAGTGGGCGGACGGCTTGCTGCTTGTCCAGCAGCGGCGAGCGGAAACCTCGGAGTGTCCGGCAGGATGGGGCTGCTACTCCGCCTGAAGCAGAGCTTTCCGTTTCATCAAACCCGCGACCGCTGGGCCTCTCTGGCCAGCTTCTCTAAGTGGCCAGCTCGGCAAACACCCCTTTGGACCACGACAGAGGCGTGAGTGCTGCTGTGTTTTGTGGGGGCAGCAGGCCTGGCAGGCCCGTGACCGGCGACTCCTCGAGCTCCCGGGAGCCACGTTTAGAATGCGTCCGCGTCCGCCGCGCTGATAGGGACAGAAGCCCCCACCCCGGGTCCTGATTGGTCCGCAAGTGAGGACGCCAAATCGCCTCAGTTTGATTGGCCTGAAAGTACGATGGAGGTCAGAGTACAGCGTCTCTGATTGGTCAGAGCTGCGCAGCTCTGATTGGTTGGGGAAGTCGCCGTTCTGTGGACTGGAATCGGGCTCCCGGAGGCAGGAACGCAGAGCAAACAGACAGTGCAGGGGTGCTTGGCCGCGAAGTGCGGTTTGCGGCCTGTGGGCAGCTGGCTGCGAGGCTCTGCGTTTTCATTTGAGCCCAGTGATCCGCCGGGCGCCCTTCTTAGTCCTTAGGGTCACAGCGGCCTCAACCAAGAAGGCAGTAGCAGCAATGACCCTAAGCCGGGAGTGTCCCCAGGCCACAGGGTGCAGTTGCTGATTAGTATTCTCGGGGCCCAGGGTGGCCCCCATGTTTGGGGCGAGTACCAAGGGCACTCCGCCCTTGTCACAGACAAAGGGACCAGGGAATCTGGTCGTGGGGCCACCCAAGGGCAGATGGGGCCATGATGCTCTCCGCCAGGGCTTTCCAGGCTGCGTCGTCCGTTCTTCCCACAAACCTGGGTCACGACCCCTCAGTCTTCAGTCACCGCGCAGAGGCTGGGCCAGACGGGAGGGGCGGCACCCGACGTTGGCAGCAGCCGGCCAGGCAGGGAGAGCGTGGCCACCGGTGCCTGGTGTGGGCCCTCGGCAGGCTTAGGGTGCCGGGAAGCCTATGCAGGTCCAGGCGCAGCCTGGTTCTGCCCGAGTTTGGAACCTGGGTTTGGGCAAACTGCCAATTCCCCCTGGTGACCGCAGGCCCCTCTGATTGGTCCCCCTTAAAGGCTAAAGCTTTTAGTGAGTGGCTATGTCTTCCCAGCAGGAGGCGCAAGGGAGGGACCAGGGAGCTCCGCGCAGGACTTTGGAGAAGTGGGAGGGGCTCGCAGGAAACCCCGAGGCTGCTGCCCAGGAACCACTTCCTTCCCTCAGGAAGGCACGGGGGGGCTGAATCCGCTCCAGGAAAGGACAGGCTTCCAGCTAGGATGGGGGCCAGCAGCGTGGGAGGGCCAGGACGTCCAGGGGTGACCAGGGATGACCACGTGGTCACTGCTGGAGGTCCTGGACACACGCCCAGCCTCCCGTGGTGGCTGTCACAGGTGAAGCGGACTGTTATGGGGACGGGTGCAGGGCCGAGGCCCCTAGTCATGTGACCTCGGTGGTGGGCATGATGCCCGGAAGGGCCTCTGAGGAGTGAGTGACTCTGGGAGAGACCTTGAGGTTCTGTGTGAAGCTCAGTCGGAGATGCACCAAAGGTTCTGTCAAATCCGTCACTGGCTTTGCCCATAAAGAGGTGGCAGCTGACCCAGTGGGGCCAGTGGTCAGTGCTCCCAGACTCAGCCGCGAAAGGAGCAAAGAAAGATGTCGGGGGACATTCCGTCCCGCGGTTCTCACAGCTTCTGTCGTGTTCTGGGCTCATGTTCCCCTCTGAGAGGAACTCCGGCCCAAGACTTCTCGGCCTACTTCATAGCAGGGGTGGGGGGACCAAGGGCAAAGAGCGGGGACGGGTGCAGAGCGAGGAGCCTGTGGGGTTTGTGAGAGACCCCACACTTGCACTGGGAGGTGGGGGCCGCCTTGCAGCGGAGCGCTGGCCGAGTGAGGCCCCGGTGTCGGCAGACGGGGCCCGACCGCATCTGGACGGTGGTCTCTCCTGGCCCACAGGGCGTCTGGGGGGCGGGCCATGTCCTGTTTCTTGACCTGGAGGGCACGCACATGGGCGGTTGCCTCGTGATAAAAACATCAATATGTATTTTGCTTTGAACACTTTTCTCGATGTATGTCCTTATACAGCATCACCCTCCCCAACACCAACCAAAAATTGTATGGTTTCTAGGAACTGATACTAGAAATGAGCAAGGCCTGTCTGCAGAACAGCACCAAGCTCCTTTGGAAGCTGAGCCACCTGCCCTTGTGCTCGGCCACCGTGTGGAGTCCTGCCAGGACCCCCCAAATCCTTCCACAGGGCGTGTAGTTCCAATGAGCCCGCCAAGGCTTTCCAAAGGGTTTTTGCAGAATCAAGTTCTGAGGGGAAAAGCCCAAGAAGAGGAAGTGACTCTTCAAGGATGCGGATGTCCCACCAGCTGCTGTGACATCTGCAGACCTTAGGACAGCTCCCTGCTGGCCCCACAGAGCGGGGCTCAAGGGCACTGCCGCGCGCCCCCCCAAGCCGAAGGCCGTGGGCCCACCCACGTGAGGGTGGGCGAGGGCTGCAGAGTGACTGCCGACACGGGGAGGAGGAGACGGGAGAGCACATCGGGGGAACCCGGTAAAGCGAGTAATCAGAAGAAAGACACACAGAAAAAGTAGGACAACTAAAAGGCACAACGCGCAGCCGCAAAGGAGTTCGGGCCTCTGGGTGCCATCTGTCACACGTGCCTTGAGAAGACCCACCTGACAGCAGACAGCAGGGCTGCGCACAGCCCCTCAGGGCAGGCTCCTGGCCAAGGGCGCCACCTCCAGCTGCTGCCCGGCACTCGGGGTTTGGGAGGACTGAAGGGCAGGGGTTGGCACGGCCCTGGGGCTCCCAGACCTGGCGCCAGCCAGGGCTCCTCCTTCCTGCCCTGAGCCCAGGGTCTGCTGGCCCGGCCAGCCCCCAAGATTTCAGCTGTGGGGACCCAACCCCCTCCCCTCGGCCAGACCTCGGCCCAGGGCTGCAGATGGGGGCGGCAGTGGCTGAGACCACGCAGGGCCCTCGGGGAACCAGCCCACGGTCCTGAGGGCAGGGGTCAGGCTGAGTTCCGAGGTGGGGGCCGCAAAGCTTCCTGCCGGGTGCACTTGGCACCTGCTGGAGGATGGAGCTCCTGGCACATTCCGCTCCACCGCCCCTCCCGTCCACCCCCCTTTTGGGACTGGTTGTTCCCGGGAATACATGTGGTCTGAGCATTTGTCGCCCCCTTCCCACCGGCCAGGCAATCCTCTTGGTGGGCTGGGCTCCAGGCAGAGGCAGTGGGGAGATGCGGCCACCAGGCGGCACCACTGAGGCCATCTGGTCGCCGGTGTGAGCGAGGGTGGGGGCCCCTTTCTGGGAGTCACTGCGCAAAAGGTGACTGCAGAGCCCGGAGGGTTGAGGGGGAGGGCGGTGAGACTGGGGCGAGTCAAACCCTGGCAGGAGTGAACTCCCTCCTGGAGGCCTGGGCAGCAGTGGGACCAGGACTCTGCCCGAGTCTAAGATGCACACTCAGGTGCCTCCCCAGGGCAGGTCGGTGGCCAAGGCAGGGGGATCCGAGGGTTCAGGGCTCCCCACCTCCTGCCTCTGTCACACTGAGCCCCCCACCCACCTTGCATTCAGGTGATTCCATTGGGTCAGCTCCCCAAGTGGACACACACCTCCATCCATACAGCTGCTTCCTGGGCCTGAGGCCAACTGGAGATCCAGGCGGTCCCTGTGGCTCTTGGGGCTGGAGGGCAGCCTGCCTCTGGGTCCCCAGGGTGAGCGTGTGTGGCAGCGGGCGGGGCCGTGACGGCTGCTGCGGGCACCCCCACCCCAGCTGCGGTCCTAGCCAGCTCTCCAGGGGACCAGCTGTGTAGCCACCCTCCCCTGCACCAGGGGGACAGACCGCCCACCCCCTGGGCCGGGCACACACGGGCGCGGAGGAAGGTGGCAAGTTCCCCGAGGGAGCACACAGGGCGCTCTGGGGAGATGGCATTGGGACTGTGAGCCGGCTGGGTCGCCACAGACAGATTTATTAGGGGCCTCGGGCCTGGGGCACACCCACAGGTCTCTTCCCACTCCTGCCGCCCAGTATCCCGGGAGACCCGTGACCCACTGTCGTCCACTTCGGCCTGTGCTACAGGAGGTTCACCCTGGCCACCACCTGCTTGCAGCCCGTGACAGCGAACTCGTGGCCGGCCACTTGGTAGTAGCTGAGCTGCTCAGCTAGGAGCTCCGCGCGAGCCTGCTCTGGGAAGAAGCCCTCGGCTGCCATCTCGTCCCGGAAGCAGCTGACCACGTCCTGCTTTTCCAGCAGCAAGAAGGGCACCACGGCCGCGGCCTGCCACAGAGGGTGCTCTCGGACCAGGAGCGCCCGCAGGCTGGTGCTCAGCTCCTCCTCCGCGCGGGCGCCACGCAGGGGGCCGCTGGGCCGCGGTGGCAGCGAGCCGGACGCGTTCTGCAGCACGAAGCGCGTGACCTCCGCGCCCCCGGCGCTGCTCAGCAGCACGTAGATGGCGTTGTGGAAGTGACGCGAGCGCTGCGGCTGCAGGAGGCCGTGCAGCTCGTCCAGGAGCGCCTGCGGCATGAGCTCCACCTCGTCCAGCACCAGGAGCGGGGTCTTCTCTTCCGCCTCGGCCTGCGCCACCACCGCGGCCACCTGCCGCGCCAGCTCCTCGCGGCAGCCCTGCGCGGCGCGCGGCTCCGGGCAGTGGTGCCGCATGTGGTACTGCAGCACGAGCTGACTGTCCTCGAGCACCGCGCGGAAGTGGCGCGCCAGCAGGCGGCCCACGTGGCTCTTGCCCACTCCGCTGGGTCCGTGGAGGGCCAGGAGCAGCGGGCGGCTGTGCACGTGCGTGGACAGGTAGTCCCGCAGCAGCGCCACGATGCGCCCCACGGCGGCCGGCTGGCCGAACACAGCGCGCTGCAGCGCCTTCTCCAGCCCGTCGAGGTCGTAGCGCTGCTCGTTATCGTCCAGGTTCTCGATGGCGTTGAGCACCTGGAAGCCCACGATGGCCACGAGCAGCAACAGGCAGTGCTGTGCGCGGCTCCGGCGCTCCGCGCGCGGCCGGCACTTGCGGGAGTTCTCAGGGTAGAGCACTACGCGGCTGCGCCGGCGCTTCTTGCGCAGCGTCCTTGAGGACAGCTCCGCGGGGCTGTCGAAAGTGAAGATCTGCGGCTGGTCCGGGTCCCTGCGGGGCGCCAGACACCCGGAGTCCAGCCCTGCGCCGGGGGTCGGGAGGTGCCTCTTGCGCAGCAGGCGCACGCGGCGGCGCAGGCGGACCACCGCGCGCAGCGGCGCTATCACGCTCCGGGCCGGCGCGCTGGGGGCCGCGGCCGCGGGCTCCACGCTGGGCTGGCCGGTGTCCATGGCGCAGAGGCGCGGCACTCACATGCAGATCTCCCTGCAACAGGAAGACGGGAGGGTCTCCAGACTGACGCCCGGCGGGCTGGGTCCCTTCACCCGAGAGCGCACCTCGCTGGGAGGCCCGGAGTGTGGCTGGGCGGCCCCAAGGCCCGGGCCTGTTGCCGGAGGTTCGCCCCCTCTGACCAGGAAGCAGCTCCCTGCGGGGCCCCATGCAAATCCCTCGGGTCCTCCCGTGAGCAGCGCGGCCCCGAGGAAGTGGCAGGGAATGGGGGTGACAGGGTGCAGCTTATCAGTCGGCCTCCCAGCTTCCTACGGGAGGGGTCGGCCGGGCCTGCTGCGGATTGGGGTGAAGAGGGGTCAAAGCCGGACCCGCCCCCGCTCGCAGCTCCGACTGCCAGGCGCCGGGCGCTCGGCGTCCCGAGAGGGGTCACAGGGAGGCAGAGGCCGAGCCCCTGGGGCTGAGAGCCACCCCCACACGTAAGAACACTTGAGGGGGAGGGGGTCCGGCCAGAACTTCTGCTTTTCAGATGGGGCCCACACGGCCCCCCGGGGAGATGGATGGAAAGGCAGGAGCACGAGAAGGAATGAGGAGCAGCCGAGGAGAGCGCTGAAGAGACGCGGGGTGCAGCCGGGGTCCCCCGAACCACCCCCATACCTGCAGCTGCGTCAGACCAGGCCCCTGCCGGCCCCAGCCCCAGGGCAGCCCCCGCCCGCGGACACTGAGGCTGTGGCTCAGGAAGCAGAAAAGGCTGCCTCCCTCCGAGGGTCAGGCTGGGGTCAGGGCCTGGGGCCTCCCCTGGCCAACCCAGCCTGGAGGGGCAGTGGCACCTGCGGTCCCCAGGGAGTGTCCAGCGCAGAGGAAGCTGAGGGAGGTTTCCGCTTCTGAGCAAAGGAAGTGAGTCAGGGGTGTGTGGCGAGGGCGGGACTTGGGCTGGACGGTGGCGCCAGGCAGGGAGGCCCGCCCGCTCCCGAGGCCCCTGCCCTGTTTGACCCTGCAGGCCCGGAGTGCCTGACCAGCCCAAGAGCACCCCCTGCCTCAGGACCCCAAGGGCCCTTGCACCTGGATCTGCCCTCCACGTACCCTCCAAGACTCCCTGGGACACCTGGCACTGAACCCCCAAAGGGCCCTTTGGGGAAGGGGAGCCCCACTCCCTCTAACTCCCCTACCCACCCCCCCCCCAGTTTGGGTTCCTTTTCTTCCCCTCCCTGTTCCTCCCCACCAGGGCACCCCCACCCCCTTCCCCAGCCCGGAGCCCCCAGGATAGCGCAGCATGGCAGGGACCCGGCTCTAGCACCAGGGGGCCGACCCCCATGTGCTCAGGGCCCTGCCCCACCGGGCCCCACCTCTGCTCGGACGGCCCTGCCTGCCTGTCTCCTACCACGCCTGGGGTGGGGGCTCGTACTGCCAGGCCCAGGCCACCGGCAGCACACCTGCCCCCACTTTGGGGGGTGAGTGAGGCCCCAGCTGGCCTTGGCACCTGCGTCCCGCAGGTCCCGCAGTCCTGTCTGGGGTCCCCCTTTGCAGGCCCCCCAACCCCTTTGCTGCCTCCCTGTAGCACACCCCACAGGCCCCTTCCCCTGAGCTCGCACCTGCGTGTGGGCACTGGGGGTCCGTCCCAGGCAGGGGGTTTCCCGTCCCCCAGAGCACAGGAGGCACAGGCCTGGTGGCCAAGTGTGGAGTTCCCACCCGTCCATCTGCCCAGGGCACTCTGGTGGCATTGCCACGCCCCACAGCCCTGCTGCCCTGGCTGAGAAGCCACTGCCCCCTAGGGCCTGCTCCCCAGGCCTGGCAGGGCCGGGTGCGGGGAGACCCCTTGGGCACCTCACCCTCCGTGTGGCCCAGGACCTGGGCAGCACACTGCCCAGGCTCTACCCCAAGACCCCAGCACCAAGCGTCTCCCGACAAGGGAAAGGCCAGGGCATCGGCATCTCCGGGGGCTGGCTGGCTGCCCTGCTGGAGGCTGACCCAGCAACACCCCCCACACCCTCCACCGGACCACCTCTCACCCACCGGGGCCTCCCGTTCCCCCTGTGGGCGGGAGCCTGGCTGCGCTGACCCGTCTGTTCTTCTTTGACCTGGGGCCTCAGGCAAGTGCCGTCTGCCCACGGGCTCCTCCCGTGGCTGGGGTCCTTTGGGTCTGCTCTCCGGGGCCCCAGCTCTGTCCAGCTCCCTGCTTCCCAGAGACGGAAGCGGCCGGAAGGGGTCCCCGAGCATCTGCACCCACAGATCTGCCTCTCTGAGAATTGTCCCTTCTCCCACAGGGCCAGCCAGTGCCCTGGCCCGGCCCCTCCCTGGGCCATCCCCACCTGTGCAAACAGGTGCTTCTTCCTCTCTGAGGAAGCACGCTCCTCTGGAACACCCCCATCTTTGTCCTCCTCAGCCGCCCCCACACCTGGAGAGCCACCCCCACCAAAGTCACTGGCCTCCGCATGTCCCCGCTGGTGGGGACAGTGGAGCCAGCCCAGTCTGGTGGCCTTGAGCAGCCCTGGGCCACACCCAGGCCCTCCCACCCGACTGGCCCACAGCGACGGCCACACCCCTGGAGCAGGTGCCGGCCTCAGGCTGCTTCCGACGCCGTGGACACAGGAACGCTCCTCCCCGGGGCTGACCACAAAGCCTTTATTTACACGGGAGCCTCACCTGGCTGAGCCGGTGCCTGAGCCGCGCACCTGCTGCCAGGGAAAGCAGAGGGGCGGGCGGGCCTTGGGCTGTCCCGGGCCACACCTGCTCCGCAGGGTGCTGCTGGCCAGGGCGGGAGGGCTCCCTCCCTGCAGGGCCTTGGGCAGCGACACCCGCTGTCTGACCCTTGGGAGTCCTCCAGAGGGCTGGGCGGACCCAGCAGTGTTGCCACCCGCCCCCTCCCGTAGAGAGCAGGTGGCTTCCTCCTCGTCTCTGCCCACTGCCCCCTCCGGCCACGCACGGACACCCACACAGGGGCTGCAGCAGCCTCACAGTGCAGGGCAGCGGGGGCCAGGCGCAGGGCGTTTGGACAGTGGCCCTGCTTCAGGGGTCTGGCCGGAGGCCTGCCTCGGGCACAGGCCCAGGTGGCCCTCAGGCACTCAGCTTTCAAGACCCAGGCCGGGGCGGAGCTGTGGCACCGAGGGGGGCGACGGCCCAGTGTGGCGGCCCAGCCCCAGGAGCAGCTCTCTGCCTCCAGGAGACACGGGCCCCGGTGGTGTGAGGTCAAGGGGCCTCTTCCCGGCCACCAGGGCCGAGTGGCCCCGCATGGCCCCAGGGGAAGGAGCATCAGAGCCCGGCTGAGGCGGGCACGGCGGGGAGGGGCAGCTCCAGGGCCGGGGTCTCAACAGCCTGGGCTGGGCTGGGCTTCCGGTGGTCCAGCTGCTCCAGCTTCTCCCCGAGCTGAGAGTAGAGCTCCTTCACCGCCTCTCCGCTCTGTGGAGGGGCAGGCTCGCCGTCAGGCCCCACGGCGGGGACACCCGGGGCGGCGGGCAGGGGCCAGGCGGGCGGCACCCACCTGGCTGGTGGGCTCCAGGGCCTTCTGCAGCGCCTGCAGGCGGGCGGGCGCCACGCGGGGGTGCAGGTGGAGCAGCAGCCGCAGCACGTGCCGCTGCACGTTCTCCTTCCTGGAAGAGGCCGTGGCGCTGCAGGGGTTGCTGCAGCGGGACCCCCCCCCCCAGGGCCGCCGGCCGCCTGCCCCGCAGCCCAGGTACCTCGGGGAGGCCGTGAGCAGGAAGCCGTCGAAGAGGCTGCTGCAGAAGTCCTCCAGCGCAAACTCGTCGGCCAACAGCGCCAGGCTCCCCGTGAGCAGGTGCAGGAAGATGTCGCCGAAGGCCAGGTCCCCGAAGGCCTCCGCTGCAGGCACGACGGGCGTCAGCCAGCTCCCCGCCACCCACACCCTCCGGGGGCCCCGCCCCCAGAGCACCCTGGGGGCAGCGAGGCAGCCCTTCCGGGAGCCGGCCTGCGCCTGCCTGGGTGGGCGTCCTCTCGCTCGGGGAGGGCCCTGGGAGGCGCAAGCGGGAGGCGGGGCCGCAGCGAGGAAGCCCAGGGGACTCTGGCCCGGTGGGCTCCAGAGGACAGCGAGGAGACGGACAGGGGGAGCGCCGTCCTCACGGAGGGGACAGAACAGAGGAAATGTCCTGTGTTTCTTTGAGACCAGGGACATCGAAACCCGCAGGACACGGCTTAAGGGACACGAGTCCCTGCACGACCAGGGACGGGGCGCCCGCTCGGCCTCCCGACGCGGACAGGCCATCCGAACAAACACAGGGGACCCTGCGAACACAGCCCCGGCTCGTCCGAGGCTCCCCGGGCGACACGTCTGTGAGGACGCCCTTCCTCTGTCCGCACCCTGGCCACGCCACCCGTGGACTCACGGTGGCCACCGCGGGGGGGCGGCGGCGGGCGGGCACAGGGCTGCCGTCCCCGGGGGAGAAGCTAAAAGACTCGGGAGAGAGCTCGTAAACCGACGCCTGCCCCTCTCAGAGCCGCCAGCAACAGAGACGACGAGCAGGTCCCACCCGGCTGCACCTCGGTGCTGTGCCTGCCAGGGCCCACCGCAGGCGGGGACACAGGTGCCCCGGCCACAGCAGGACGCCCGTCTCCAGCCGACCCGCAGAAGCCGGCAACAATCCGTTCCTGGGTGTGCCCAGAGACGCGCCCGGCAACGAGGCGCCGAGGGGCCTGGACAGGCCGACCACACACAGCCCGCGTCCCCATGGGGTCCTGCTGAGGGGGCGGCGGCGTGGGCGGGTCAGAGTCTGAGGGACGGACCTGGGCACGGGAGCAGTGGGACAGGGGCTGTGAAGGCGCAGGGAGGGCCCCCCTGAGCAGTGGCTGAAGCAGCGCGGCCCCGCCCACACCTCGACCGGGGCCCTGGGCGGCTCGTCCCACAGGCTCTGACCTCCAGAACGGGAAGGGAGCGAGTTCGAGCTGCGAGTTGGGTGGTAGCTGGGTGTCAGCTAACACCCACAAAGGGGCAGCTTCCTCCACAGGGGAAGTCAGGAAGCAACGGGAGCTTCCCCCTCGGGCGCGCCAGCGACCTGGAAACACACTCAGGGAGAACCATGTGCGACCTCCACGCAGACCAACCGAGTCGGCAGGGGCCGCCGGAAGCCCCGCCCCACAGCCTGCAGCTCCCACAGGGCCCCCCCGCATGCAGCCCACCCCGATCCCTCTCTCCTTCCCGGCCCACAGCGACACCCCCAGGGGTCTTCACCACCTCCCGCACTCACGGCCCCATCGGGGCTGCAGCCGACTGGCTTCCCGACCCCCGAGGGCTGCTGGGCGAGGAGAGCAGAGGGCGCCCTCTGCCCCTGCCCCGGGACGGTGCCCCGGGACCCGCACCCCTCGGGGCGGACGGGGCGGCGGCGCCGCAGACTCACCGAGCCCGGGCAGCAGGCGCAGCAGCGCGTTCTTGTTCCGCTGCTTGGCGACGTGCAGCACGTAGTAGAGCCCCACCTCGCAGGCCATGCGCTGCTCCTGCAGGAACCTGGGCCCAGCACCCAGCCTGAGCGTCGCCGCCCCATGGCCACCTGGGGGGAGCCCTGGGGCGCGGCCCCCGCCCACACCCTCCAGCCATACTTGGTGAAACTCTCGGGGAGTGTGTTGGGGTAGGCGGCCGGGCCCCTCTCCTCAGCAGGGAGCTTCTGGTCCACGTTGAAGGCATGGTCGTCCACCACGAAGGACATGAGCGTGGGCAGGAACCTGGTGACGAGCTCCGCCTCCTAGGGCGGGAGGCCGAGGGCGCAGGGCTCAGGGGCTGCCCCGCTCCAGCCGGGCCACCACGCCCATGCCCACACCCCTCCCCGGCAGGAGAGCGGGGGAGGCCCTGCTAGGCCCCTCACCATCTTGGGCTCCTTGAAGACCTGGCTGTCGATCATGTCCCAGGCCCCCTGGCCCAGCGCGAGAAGCCGCAGCAGCAGCAGGAGGTCGGGGCTGTCCTGTCGGAGATGGGGGGGTCTCAGCTCCAGCGCCCTGAGCCCCGCTGCCTCCCGACCCTGAATGCTGTCCGCCCCCTGGCCTCCAGGCACTGGCCTCGCATGGGGGAGGCGGGGTGCTCGCCGAGGCACCCGCCCGGAGAGCGGCCTGTGGCCTGCCACGAGCACTCACCCTGGGCAGCGTCTCCTGGCCCACCAGCTCCTGCAGGTGCCGGACGGTGCTCAGGGACAGCGTGTTGATGGCGAAGGGGTCGCACAGGATCATGGACAGGTCCCTGCGGAGACACCCCCCAGCGCTGCCACGAGGAGCTGCTGACCCACAGGGGGCCCAGCGAGGCGACCCACCTCACGCAGCCAGCCCAGCCCCCTCTGGACCCCTGCCCCCTAAAAGTGCATGGTTCCAAAACTTGCACTGAGCTTATTCAAAATCCTGTAGAGTTAAAGAAGTTCCCAGAAATTCAGGCCGTGTTTGGTTCTGGGAACCTGGCCCAAATGCTGCCATTTGAGCCCAGGGCCCCACAGACATGTGCAGGGAGGGGCGGGTTGGGGCTCCCACCCCACATCGGGCCGAAGCTCAGCCAGGGGCACGGGGTGCTGGGCAGCTCCCCTCAAACAGGCTGGACCAGACGCCGCGGCACGCTCCCCGCACGCCCGGACACGGGACTCTGGGGGGCGGGGTGTCCGCAGGCAGAGGTCAGCACTCACCCCAGAACTTGCTCCTGACCCTTCTTCACTCCGTCGAGGAAGCCCTGCAGCTCCCGGGCCCTCTTGCTGTCCACGAAGCGCTCGCGGATGCAGGCGTCCAGGCACCAGGTGAACTGTGGGGGTGGGGGGAGAGGGCGCGGGGGGCACAGTCAGGGCGGGGCCGCGGCCACGCTGCAAGGCCGCCACATTGCTCCCCCAGGGCCCGCCGGGCCAGAGCCCCGCCGAGTCGGAGTGTGTGGAGGACACAACACTCGAGTTTTACTCTAAAAGGGGCCCCTCTCAGCCCTGGCCGGCTGCTCAGCTGGTGGGTGCTGTCCGACTCCCCGCGGTGGGCTCAGCCCGGTGGGAGAACCAGCGAGAAACAACCAGCGAGCGGGCCTGTCTCCCAAACCAGTGAGTAACGGGAGCCCAGGCCGGGGAGAACTCAGAGGACGCGGGACGGAAATCCGAGCCCACGGCGGCTCCCTCTCGGCAGGAGACCCGTCGTCCTCGTTACCCACCCAGGGACTTGGCGCAGAGGCCACTGGACCGCTGGGGGGGCGGGGGGGGGGGCTGTGGGTTTGAGAGACCTGGGCTTCTACGCTTTACTCGTAAATCAAAGCTGTCTTTAGTACTAATCCCTGGAAAAATAATTAAGAAAGTAGAAAGGGCCCCTCTCGGGTGGCCCCTGCAGTGGGGTGTCGGAGCGGACACCCAGGAGGTGGGGCCGCTCGGGCTGCTGGAGACCAGGGCGGCGTGGACCCGAGAGGGGCCCGAGGGCCACGGGTGGGCCAGGATGGACCGCAGGAAGCGACGGAGCAGGCGGGTGAGCAGCCGTGGCTCTGGAGGCCCCCTGCCCCCAGCCCCGCCGGCCAGGCAGCAGTGGGGCGGCGGCGGCTGTGTACCTGGGGGTCAGGCGGGTGAGCCGTGGGAGCCCAGAGGTGGGGACTATCGAGCCCCCGGGGAGGGAGGAGCGCAGGAAGAGGCCAGGGCACAGGGGCGCCACCTTGTGGCAGGGGTCCACGGAGCAGATGTCGCCCACGTCCAGGTCGTGTAGGGACATGAGCAGCTCCGCGCGGAGTGTGCAGTAGTGCACGTTGCGCGTCCGCAGGAAGAGGGTCCGCAGGAACTGCAGCACCATGTCGTACAGCTTCACGTTCTTCCCCACCATCTGCGTCAGCTTCTGCACCACCTGGGGGGCGAGACCCCGCGGCCGGGGTCACCAAGGGCCCCCGTAGGGCTTCCCTCAAAGGCCACCGGCCTGTCGTCCCAGACTCCAGTGGAGGCCCCAGGAGGCCCGGCCTGTGCTGCCCCAGCCCACAGGAGGGGCTCTGCCTTCTGTCCCCGGGCTGTGAGCAGGAGCGGGGTCATGGTCCAGCAGGGTGACGGCCACGCAGGGCAGCCTGAGGTGAGGGACGCCCCCAGGCACCAGGCTGCACACGGCAGGGGAGAGCGGCAGGGGCCGCAGGGCCCCCCGAGAGCTCTGCCGAAGATCGCCCTAGGCCTCCGGGCCCCTGACAAGCACAGCAGAGCCGGGTGCGGGGCCCGAGTCTCGGCACCCACACACGGGCCTCCAATGACAGCTGACACGCAGCAGCCCAGACCCCCAGCCCAGTCTGCCTCACGCGCGCGCGGGGGGGACACAAGATGGGGTGCCGACTCTCAGGGCAGCTGGCCACACACCCCGAGGACCCCAGGGGGATGCGTGGACCTGCAGCCACCCTCTCCCCTTGCAGGGGCACAAGACACACAGCAGGACCCCGGCTGGGAGGGGAGCGTGAAGAAGGGACAGGTGACCACGCAGCCCCAGCCGAAGGCCTGGCTCCCCCAAGGTGAGCGGGGGGAGCGGGCAGGACACGAGGACACCCCACCCCGTCCAGAAAGCAGAGCACAACCCCTGCCCGGACGTCGAGGAAAACGTCAGGCTGCACCCTCCCTCCCACCGCACACAGACTCCAGGGCAAAGGTGCACGAGAAAGAACGCGACTGAACACACAGCGCCACACTGCCAGCCTGGCCAGCTGTCACCGCCACCTCCCTCCCGGGGGAGCGGTCCTCCCGCAACCGGGGCATGCAACTCCAGCGACCTCCACCTCACTGGGGAGGGCCAGAGCGTCCCCAGCGGCTCCGGTCCCCCAACCTCAGCCCGCTCACCTGCTGGCTCTACACTCCGGCCACACCAGCCCCGAAAGCCCAGCCTGGCCGTCCCCCGAGCCTCTGCTCACACCTGGCTTTTCTGCGACCTCCCCTCTCTGCAGTCCTGGTCCACTCCTCAACCTCGTGGTGACCAACCAACGTGTGACCTTTACCGAGTACTGCCCCCGCGCCCGCCTGCAAGTGCCCCGAGCTCCAGAGTTGCTGGAGAACCCAGCGCCTACGGCAGGAAGTCAGCGCTCAAGAAATGTCTACCAGCCCTGGCTGGCGTGGCTCAGTGGATTGAGCACCGGCCTGAGAACCAAAGGGTCACAGGTTTGATTCCCAGTCAGGGCACAGGCCTGGGATGCTGGCCAAGTCCCCAGTTGGGGGCATACAACAGGTAACCAACTGATGTATCTTTTGCACATTACTGTTTCTCTTCCTTTTTCTCCCTTCCTCCTCTCTAAAAATTAAGTAATTAAAAAAAACAAACAAACACGTTTGGCTAAAAAAATGTTTGTCAAAGCAACTAACAACTAAAGCCTAAACACAGAGTCACCCCGGAGCTGAAAGAAGACACGCTGAGCTCAACCAGAAAGACTCGCCCACACGCAGGGTGCCGAGTAGGCGAGACCCACAAGACCCACACCTGGGTGCGGCGCTGCAAAGCCCCCTCCTACCGCTCTCGTGTACGAACCTACCCTCCCCGGAACAAAAACACCCAGACACTCGGGGGCGGAGAAGGGGCTGGCCAGTGCGGCCCTGCCCCCGCCTCACCTCGCCCTGGCGCCTCGTTTTGGGGGACGGGCTGAAGAAGTTGTGCAGGACAGAGAGCTCTGTGCTGAACAGCGCGCTCTCCTTCTCCAGGATGTACTGCTTCAGCAGCGGGGAGACCTCGTCGCCGAAGAGCGCCTGGTTGTCCTGCCAGATCTGCCGCTTCACCTCCACGGCACAGGCCCGGTACAGCTCCTTGTCGGCCATGACCAGCTTGAGCTTCTTCTCGGGGACCTGCAGGACCGCACCGGCCACCTGTGAGTGGCACCTGTGCCCTGGGCACAGGCCAGGAGGCCTCGGCGCCCCCGCCCTGCAGAGGCCCTCCAAACCTTGCCCCAACTGAAGGGGCACCTGGGGCCGCCCTCCGGCCCTGGCAGGGCAGGCAGCCACCCTGAACGCACACTGCCCTCTCCCGGCAAGGGCCGCGCCCCGAGAGGACACCACACTCTGGCCTCTGCGAGGCTCAGCAGGGAGAAGCCGGCACAGAGAAGGCCCCCCTCACCGCCTGTGCCGGGCAGGCAGCTCGGGAAACCCCGGGGCTCACTTTGGGCAAGTGCTTCATGACGCACATCACCACCGGCTGCAGGGACGGCATCTTCACCAGGGAAAAGCTCTTCTCCAGCAGGTCTTCCAGCTTCTTGTACCTGCAAACACTCCAGTGCTGAGGAAGCAGCCGCCTGCCTGTCCCCAGGGACGAGTCTCCGCAGGTGGGACTCGTGAAGGAGCAGGCCCTTTTTCAAGCAGGAACGTGTAGCCAAGGGGACAGCGGTGCTGCTACCTCTGTTCCCACACTGAGAAGGCAGCGGCACTCATCGCCTGCCCACCCACCTTTCCTCGGCCTTCCCCTCAGAAGCAATGGCTGACACGCGCTCCAGCAGCTTGTCCCGCAGCTCGTCAAACACCGACTGGTGGAACTCCAGCCGAGGCGTCCCATGCAGGTCCAAGAAGGGCAAGGCCGACTGCAGGGACGGCAGCAGCACGCCGTTCTCTGTCTGAAGAAGCAGAGGATCAGCGCGGAGTCGATTTTGCTTCTCTGCAAAATCGGCAAATACAGAAACCAGCCGCGGCTACGTCCGGACACCGGGGATGCGCAGAGAATGCACACAGGCAGCTGCAGGGATGTTCCCGGCTGGTTCTAACTACAAAAACTGAAAGCCACCCAGATGACCGCCCATGGGGCACTAGCTCAGGACAGCTGGTCCCTTCATCCCGCGGGACAGACGCAGCGATCAGAGACAGGGAAACCGGCCCGCTCCCCATGCGACCCCGCCCCCCTGCCGGGCTCCCGCGCCGAACGCCCGGCCTGCGCGCCCCGTCCCACCTGAAACTGCTCGATGGCCTTGAGCGGTTCGGTGCAGTTGGTGAGGGTCTCCTTCAGGTCCTCGCCGTTGGCCACACCCAGGTCCTGCAGCCCCGCGAACATGGCCGAAGCCCCCGCCCCAGCCCGGCTCGGCGCCCCATCGCCACCGCGCTCCGCCGGCGCCGCCGCGGCCCCCGCAGGCCCCCCAGCAGCCCGCTCGCTCGGGCCGCGGGGGCCGCCTGAGCTCCTCTCCGCCGCGCCCTCCAGTTCGGCCAGGTGCCTCCGGCAGCGCCGCTCCGCTTGAACCGCGGCCGCCCACTTCCGACGCGCACAGCCAGTCCACCCGCCAACCCGCCCCTTCCGGAAATGCTGCCGCCGCGCAGAGGTTCCTGGGAGAGAAGCCGCGCCAGGCTGAGCTACCGAGAGGGAGAGCAACGCCCAGAGGCGGTGCGCCGCCAGCGAGGCCCCGCCCTCCGCTCCGCCCCTTCGGCGCGCCACGCCCACCCGCCGAGCCCAGCCCCGTCCCCCGGCCGCTTCCGGTGCCTGGGCCACGGACTCGGCCTGGCGGAGTTCGCCTGCCCTCCCGCCTCCGGCCTTGTCCTTCTTTCTGGGCGAGAAGAACCTTCGCCGAGCCGGCGGGGCGTGCAGGTACCGCTGCGGGGGCGCAGCCGCTAGAGGAATTTCAGAACCGACCTTTCGGCCGATTACATTTTATTGTGAAAAACCACCGCAGCGGCCCCTGACGCTGAGACATGATCGAGTTTAGGACAGACCTAGAGGGAGAAGGGAGGCCCTGTGGGCGGAGCTCTCGCCTCGCGTCCCAGCGAGAGCCCCGCCCCCCAGCGGCACCATACAGCTACGTCGGGGCTGCGAGGGCCGCTCCAGCCCCGCCCCCGACTTCCGCTTCCCGCCTGCCAAATTCTGCTCCGTCTTCATGCCTGCTGTAAGCTCCGTGGCGGCGGGCGGCAGTCTTCCTCTTGCGGACGAAATCCTCTTTTGGTGACAGGCACCTAGTCGCTTGTCTTTTGCAGCCGACGTGTTAGCAGCTCGTTCTGGATCCAGGGAGGGGAAGCCCGGGCGTCAGGGCAGCCGAGCGGCCCGCGCGCTGCTCGCCCTCGGGCGGGGAGGCCTCGCGTGGGTCTTTTCCTGGGTCCAGCGTCCGCGCTTCGCGCCTGGCGCTCTCTGGGCTTTACTTGGGAACTGCTTACCGTTCCCTGTTCAAAGTCCTCGCATGTCTGCTGTTTGCCCGTAAGTCCTCGATTTGACAGGTAGACCCGTTACCTCGGGGATCAGATCAGGCTGTTTCTTGAGACTGGCTAGCCTTCAGCCCATACGTCTTTGGTTTTCATTATACCGGCAATTGTTTGAGTTTCTATCTCAAGTATCAAGTCTTTAAAACATTCTTACGATGTGTTTGGCTAACTGGTTTATTTAGTATATTTTATGGATTATGCTATTACGGTTGTCCCGTTTTCCAGCCCTTTATCCTCCTCTGCCCTGCGGCCCCCTCCCACCAGCATTCCCCACCTTAGTTCCTGTCCACGGGTCGCACAGGTAAGTTCCTTGGCTGCTGCATTTCCCATGCTACTCCTAATCTCCCCCCCGTCTACTTTGTGCCTACCATCTATGCTTCTTGTTCCCCGTATGGCCCAAACTTCTTGGGTCAGGGGCTGTGTCTTCTGACACCCGCTGATCTTCGGTCCGGTTGCAGATTGGACTGCCTCCTTGAGAGTGCCCAGCGGTTGGCCAGGCTGCTCTGACAGCAGGCTCCCTCCTAGAACTGGCGGTGTTAGCCTTGGCCTGACCCTGACCCTCCCGGGGTCAGGCTATCCTATAGGTAGGCTGGTATCTGACCTGCTGGGGTCGCGTGCATTGCTTTTGGTTCTTGCTCTAAAGAAATCTCTTTGGCGTAGCTCAGTGGATTGAGCACGGGCTGCGAACCAAAGTGTCGCAGGTTCGATTCCCAGCCAGGGTAAATGCCTGGGTTGCAGGCCATAACCCCCAGCAACCGCACATTGATGTTTCTCTATCTCTATCTCCCTCCCTTCTCTCTCTAAAAATAAATAAAACCTTTAAAAAAACATCTCTGAAAAGCAGGGTCTTGGTTATTTAAAATGCTAAGGCCATCCCTCCTCCAGCAACCCTTACGTTTGAAAACCGAGGTCACTCTTCATGGACATATTTAACTAAATGAACAGATCTGAATCTCGGTGGCCACCGTGGGGGACCTTTGAGATTTCCAGACTGACTCTTAAATCTGAACCAGACAATAACAGGGCTAAAATTGGCAAAGATGAACGGAGCGCCTATTGCCAGGGGTATTTTGTAGCTTCCAAATGTTACCAAGAATCTGACGTTGCTTTTTCACCAAACCAAAGTTTCAGAATTAACAGAGGCTACGGAACTTCTAAAGAAGGGAAATAAAAAGGCTTCGGAAGCTGCCTGTTCGCCTGCGGCACAGCGTGGCGTTGCCCTTCACCGCTCCGCCGCCGTCTGGGGCTCTGCAGCGCTCAGCTCCTCCCCCGAGCCAGCCCTGCGCCCCCTGCCCTGCCCGCTGCCTTGCCTCCGGTGCCACTCTCCAAATGTCTGCCGTAAATGGCATACGTTGTTCTACAGGAAAACTGGATGGCGAGCCGCAGGTAGAGGGTCCTCGCTGACTGGCTGCAGAGTTTGACGTAGGTGTTCACTCCTGCCAGTTTGGGTCTCCAGATTTGCATCAGCTGTTAAGCTGCCAGTCGACGGAGACCTGCTCCGCCCTGGATGAGGCTTACACGATACAGCCGTCCCGAAAGGGATGCAGAAAGCCCAACCTCTGGTTTCTGGCAAAGCCCTCCCACCAGCCTGGCCCAGACCCCCGAGCACAGAGCCAGCGGCTGTTGTAATCGATCTCAGGTAGTTTCTAAGGAATAATCTGGCTTTCCTTCTACTCGGGTAGCCTTCACCTCGGTTTATTAAGGGGCTAAACAGAGACCTTTCCTTTCTGCAAAATGACTGGGATGGACGGGAAGCTGCGTCCCCTGCAGACTCGGTTAATGTGGCGCATCGGTTTGCTTGTGCTGTCGATGCGTCGGCTGAAGGAGGAACTGCTACAATTCTTAACTTTCGGTATGGCCAGTGAAGGCCCCCACACAAACCGCCAAGCCCCCAGTTTCTGCTGTGACTGCCGAGAGCCGGGAAGCGCCCTTTCAGGCACCCTGAGGCCTCCAGCCAAGCTCCTGGGTCCTCCCAGTCCCTGGCGACAGCCCGGGCTCCGAGGAGGACGTTTTCCCGCTCGGAGACAGTACCGTCCGGATGGGGGCCAGTCTCCTCGTGCTGTGAGAGCCCCACAGGAACAGCGAAGGTTACGGCGGGGCTCTGCCCTTGTGGCGGCCCCGCCCCCCAAGCCCGCTTCCTTCGGTACAGAGCGCTCCCCATCTCTGTCCTGTCCCGTGCGCTTGCCAAGCCTGCACCCACCCCATCGCACCCCTTTTCCCTGAACAAATCCTGTCTGGTGATGGGATGCCCAGTGCGCTCCGTTCTGCAGTCAGCACACTGTTTTTGCTTCAGGGACTGGAGCGCTGCCGCCCTAGAAGCTCCTGGCACCAGGTGCGAGACACCCTTTCCAGGCGTGTGCTTGCGGTGTGTGTGTGTGGGCGGGGGGGCGCCCACAGAGACCTGGGCTGGCAGTGGGGGAGGACAAGGGCTGGCGGGCCTCTCCTCACCGTGAGCGTCTGGCCCCAGGCTGGCCTATGGCGGCAGGCCCTCAAGCTGAGGCTGGGAGTGTGGGTCCCTGGGGTGCCAGAAGCACGCAGAGTGGGTGGGCCCAGCATCTGCGGCGCCTCCAATCCCTCTAGCTCACCTTCCACACCACCAGCCCCGTCTCCGAGCCCACCACCCCATATGCCACAGCCTCTCCCTTCTCCTGTGTCCAGGTTTGCTCTGCTAGAAATCCCCTTTCCTCCTGCTCATCCTTGAGAGCCCATTCCCGCACTTCCTCCCCCAGGAAGCCCTCTCCTGAGCCCAGCAAGAGGGAATTGCTCCATCCTTCCTGCTCATCCCACTGCTGGCTTTCAGCCCTCAGTGGCTGGTGGTGCGGCTGTGAGCAGGGCTCCTGGCTCCCACACCCGGGCTGGGCTCCCAGGGCCAGGCTCCCGCAGCTCAGCTGCCTGCTGGCCCAGCTGGTCAGCTGGGCAACACCTGTGTGCAGTCCCACTGATCCCCTGGCATGCTGGGGCTCCACCCCCAGCTGGGTCAGCCCGAGGTCACAGGTGAACACTCTCGGACTCCCGGGGCCTTGGCCTCCCCGCAGAAGGGTTCATGGACCACCGTAACCACCCCGTTGCAGTCTGCCTTGGGGTCCACCCCTCAGTGGGAGGCCAGGCTACCCCAACAGGACAGGGCCCCTAACTGGGGAAGGCCCAGGGAGTCCAGTAGCTGTGGCTTGGCCTGCAGGGCCCGGGACAAGTCAGCAGGGTCTCTGGGCAGGTGCTTGGGGGGAGAGGAGAGGGCCAGGCCCTGACAGCCTAGTCCTCTAGGCCCTCCTCGGTGGCTGGTCAGGCTGACCTCCTCAAGATAGCAGTTCAGGGAGCCTGGCCCCGACCTCTGCCCCGAAAGTCAGTTCCTTGGCTCGGCCAGCAGCCTGGCTCTTGGGTAGACTGGCAGCTGGGGGCCTGCCCTACCCAGAAGGACCCCTCCCGTACTGTCCCAGGCCAGGAAGTCTCAGGCTGCCACCCACCCGTCCTAGAGAAGAGAACACGTGAGGGCAAGCAAGGGGGACCCCTGGCCGGGGAAAGGCTCCTCTGCAAGACAGCTCACCAGGGGGAGAGTGGCAGCCAGGCACACGGCAGAGTTCGGAAGAACCATCTCTTACAGCAAGTGGGGGCTTCCGGCTGGGCTCTCCTTGTCCGCAGCTCACGGAATGGTTAGCTGGCCGGCAGCGTAGATGCGGGGTGCCAGACTGGGGTCGCTGAGTCCCAAAAGGAGGTCTGGAAGGCGCAGGGGTGGGGGGCGGGGTGGGGGCGGGGGCAGGGTCCACGCCATAGCTGCCCAGCCGGCTCTAAAGCGCGCAGAAGGGGCCCGTATCATGGCGCTTGGGTCTTCGCACGCCCTGGATGACCACTCCGGGCACCGAGGGGAAGCGCGAGTTATAGCAATCCTCCACGGAGTAGGCGGCTGGGCCGGGGGTGTGGGCTGCAGAGGGACAAGGTGGGAGCCCCATGCAGGCTCCGGCGCCCGCCGCTGCCCAGCCCACACCGCTCCCAGGACGCCGCGTGACCCTAGCCTCCCCTCTGGGAGGCCTCCTTACAGGAGCTGAGCCAGGAGGCGAACGCGGGGGAGCGACTCATGGTGAAGGCGGGCGAACGCGGGCCCCGCAGGCGGCACCCGGGAAGGATGTCGTAGGTGCTGGGGCTGGGAAGCTGCGATAGGGGCCGGGCCCGGGGACCTGCACCGCGGGCCCGAGGCAGCGCCGGACGCGCGCGCGCATCGCGGGTCTTGGAGGCCGGGCGGGGGGCCCCGAAGCTGAAGGCCGGGAAAGTAGGGCCGCTGAGTGGACGGTAGTCCGCGGGCGATGGCCACTGTGGGTGAAGGAGCTGCTGAAGGCCCTCCCGTCTCAGCCCTCACATGCCCCGCCCACCACGGGCTCGCCCCGCCCCCTTCCTACAGGCCGCACCCCCGCAAGAACCTCCGGCCGACCCGTACCTTTTGCTCCCAGCAGAAGTCCACTTTCTGCGTGAAGGGGCTATCGCTTTGCAGCCACACGGTCTGCCACGCCCTGCGGCCGCCACCCTCTGCGGGGGGGCAGTGTCGTTGGGCGGGGGGGGGGCAGGCTGGGGGTGCGGCCCCACTTCCAGGACTGGGGAGCTGCGGAGGGGGGCGGGACGCGGGGAGGAGCACGCACCGGGGGCGGGGTGCTTGCGGCCGATGCTGAAGCGGGGGTGCGGGGAGGATTCGCGCACCGCAGCGTCTGGCACCCCGTACTTGGCGGGGCCGGGGACGTCCGGGTCGGTCACGATGGGGGGGCGTTGCTCCAGCCCTGAGGGGAAGCAAGCTCTGCTCCTGGGTCCTCTCGCGAGGCTCCTCCCGCTTCTGCCCCGCCTCCCCGGACCGGACTGGGGACCCGCACTCACACAGCTCCTTCAGGCCACGGGTGCAGTTTTGCCGGGACTCCTGGAAGGGGCCCCTCTGCATCCTGAGGCCCTCCGGGGACTCCAGCACCACCGCGGGGGGCCACATCTCCCAGGCGGCGCCCACGCCCGGGCACCGCCAAGCGGCATCCTTGGGCCTGCAAGACAGGACAGCCTGGGTCCACCCACACTGCCGGAGGCCCCCTGGAGCTGCCCCGCCCCCCACCCCTCGCCCTCGAAGTGGCTGGGCTGGCACCAATGACTTCCACCTCAGGGGGCCGTGGGTCCAGTGTTTGCCTCCATTGATGTAAAAGTTTGCCAGGAATTTCACAGCTTTCTGGTCAAAATTCATTGTCAGGGTCTCTGGCTGCCTTCCACGGTGACCTGTGACATCGTGCGGCTTTGTGACCTCTTCGGCCCGTTGTGCCCCGCCCCCCACCCCTTTTGCTAGGAATTCTAAGGGAAAGATACCCAGCGGGGGGGGGGGGAGGCGGGGAGCGTGGCAGTAGGGTCCCCAGCCGGCCGCTCGTCTGACATGCCAGGAGGACCCCTAGCCAGCTCAAGTGACCCCTGGCTTAGTCTCCTTTCCCCTGTCCCCCTTCCTCGTCCCAACCCTTTTTTGGACTCTGGGGGTCCAGTGTATCGGGCTTCCGGGGGTGGGTGCCGCGCGGTGCCCACTGTGCAGGGGCCAGCTGGAAGGCAGCTTCAGGGTAGGAGGGGTGGTCCTGGAGGAGGAGCCCCCGCTGGAGCAGCAAAGCCAAGCGGCTGAGTCTGAGTGGGCGGTGCGGACCCGGACGGAGAAGCAGTGCCGGCCCTGGAGCGCCCGGGGCCCTGGCGGGGCTGCGGAGGCGGAGCACCGGGGCCAGAAGGTGCCACGGTCGGCTGGGGCTGCCCAGGCCGAAGTGCAAAAGAAGGATGCGCCCAACGCGTGTGGGCCAGTCTGCACACTCCAGAGCCCTCCAAGTGCCCTCCGAAGTGGAGCAACTTGCCAGCCCCGCCCCGGCCTTGACCTCATCCAGCAGCAGGGCCCGGTCAAGCCGGTCTCATCCCCTGGGCCCTGCCCCCGTTCCCCCGCTCCCCCCCCCCCCGCCCACCCCCGCAGGAGTCTCTTCCTGTCCGGATCCCTCCCACCCCGCAGTGACCCTGCAGGGCCCTTGGAGGCACTCCAGATGGACAGACCAGAGACTAGCTTGAGGAGACCCGGGTCTTGTGGGGGCTCAGGGCCCGGGCTTCGTGTACCGTGCTCTCTGCGGGCGGAACCGACAGCGGCCGCAGATGCTGCTCTGTGACCGGAGTCTCCTCCGTGGACGTGCGGGCCCAGCTTGCACTGCCGGGGAAGGCGGCACCGCTGAGTGTCAGTGCCTCAGGGGAGGCTCCCGAGAGGGGGGCGCCTCCTGCGGACTTGATCTGCGTCCTGCAAGGCTTTCTTGGCCTCACCAGCCACCGTGGAGGTGGCTCTCGCGTCGCCCGCCGGCAGCGCCCCCGGAAACCACCGTTATCAGCGTTCACGCGATTAAATCCAACCCTCTGCCCCATGTGTACTACGTTATCCTTTTCCTTAAGACGTGCGCCTCTCCTGTGTGTGTTTCTGTCGGGGCTGGGGGTAGTTTTTCGTGTTTCTGTCAGGCACGTTGGGGCTTTTTCCGGCTGATACGCTATCTGCTCATCACGCCCGTGGCAAGCTTTTCTCCAAGTCTGTAGTCGGCCTCCGAGAGTGGTTTACGCTGGGTTCCTGACGTGGTCTTCAACCTGCTAACCTTTTCCTTCGTGATATTTTGTATAGTTGGAGGGTCCTTTTGTACAAAAAGAAAAATCCGGCCCTGGCTGGTGTGACTCAGTGGGTTGGGCATCGCTCCACAAACCAGTCGCCAGTTCCACTCCTGGTCAGGGCGCACGCCAGGGTTGCCGGCCAGGTGCCCGGTTGCGGGCGTGCAAGAGGCAACCGATCAATGTCTCACACTCACATCAGTGTTTCTCTCTTTCTCTTTACCCCTCCCTCCCGCTGTCTCTAAAAATAAATAAAGTCTTTAAAAACATATAAAAACGGAAAATAGCACCCAGCTCCAGGGAAAAGACCCTCCAACCTCACTGAGGCGGCTTATCACCATGCCCTGGAACCTTCAAGGCCTCTCGTCTGAGGAGCGGACTTGGGGTGCATGGGGGCTCCCTCAGATGCACCCTGGGAGGCTGCCAGTCTCCTGGGGGTAATCTGGTCAGTGCTCCCCCTCAGGGCTGACTTGGGACTTGGCTGCAGGAGCCGCCCCAGGTTTCTGAACCCCAAGGTCCCCCGAGGCATGCCTCCCAGCCCCCGCCCAGCCTGCTGCCTGTCTGGGCCCAGGGGTCCAGTCTGCACCTCGGGAGCCCTCTGAGGGTTGAGGAAGGGCCTGGCCCAGGTGGTGCCCAACAATGGGGCCTCTTCACAATCGTTACCAGGCAACGGGGGCCTTTAGGGAGGGCAGCCAGACCAGAGGGGGAGTTGCACAGTGAAAGTGGAGCTCCAGCAAGATGACAGCTCCTCAGAAACACAACCTCTTCACCCCGGAACCACACTACGTCCCTGGGTACGAGCTGCACCCCTGCAGGGAGGCTGGGGGAGCAGGCTCAGCCGGCAGCCAGGGGACCCCCAGCGCTGGTCCCTGGGGTGGGGGTGAGGCCCAAAGGCTGAAGGAGCAAGAGAACTCGGGGCTCAGGGCCCAGGCCCACTTTCCCTGCTGGCGGCGCTAAGGTGGGCCGCCCAGCGGCTGGCAGAGGCTGGCGAAGAAAACGCCGACGCTCGCCCCACAGTGCTCCACACGCTGAAGACAAGTGTTGGGAGTAAACTGATTGTCGCCAGCTGCCTCGCCCCCTGGGGAGCATGCACGCACGCACACTCGGGAGCACACGCACGGAGCCGTGAGAGCAATGGAGAGGGTGGGCAGGGAGCCAGCAACAGCTTCACGGCGGTTCTGGGGTCCAGTCCCAGACCATACACAGGAGAGGAAGACCTCACCCAGATGCCCCCCTTCTGGCCACGTGGCTAAATGGCACTCAGCTCGACTTTTCGCTTCCACCAGCAGCCTCCCCCGCCTCCCAGATCCTGGTCCCATCCCTGGTTCCTAGCGTCTGGCGTGGCAAGCCCCCCCAGTGGTGCCGCCGTGGTTGCCGTGGGCCTCCCCATGCAGGGGCCCAGACGCCGTCGCCATCCCTGCAGACACTTCTGGGCAGTTCCGGTTTTGCCGTCTTCAGGCTGCCCTCAGCTGTTGGGTGCCGGGCAGCAGAGGGGCGGTGGCCCGATGGCGGCGACGGCAACGTGGGTTCTCTGTGTTTGGGGTGTGCTGCCCACTCAAGCCTCGAGGGCCCAGAGCCAGGGGTCACAGTGCCCCCCATTCCGTGGCGGAGGCCAGGTACCGGCCTCGGGATGGCAGGCTGCACCTGCCCTCGCCCACAGGCCCCGCCCATCCTCTTCCCCCACAGCTATGCCGGCTTCTACCCCCAGCTGCGCTACCAGGTGGGAGACACCTACGGGCGTACCACAGCACGGCTGCTTACGGACCCCAGTGTGCAGAAGAGCCCCTGCTCCGTGCTGTCCCCCATATCCAAGCCCAAGTTCATCGAGGACTTCAGCAAGTCCAAGCCGCCTTTTGTGCCCTGCCGAGACTTGGGCGAGCCCTACGTCCCCCACTACACGGGTGAGCTGCAGCCCACTGCTCGGCGGCCCTGCCCCTCTCCCGCCCCCTGCCGCCTGCTCACTGCTGCCCCTTCCACACAGGTCTGAAGCCCTACAAGGACTTCGAGATCCTGGGCCGGTTCTCACCTCAGGATGGGGCCGCTGAGGGGCCGCCGGGGATGGAGAAAATATCTCGGCAGGTCCCACTGCCTGCCGGCTTCATGCCCTACCCGCCCTACCCGCTGTGCCCGCCGGGCAAGAAGAGGGGCTCCAAGGACCTCGGACACCCGGGCCTGCGGCTGGCGCACGGGGAGGAGGACTGGAAGGGCGCTGCCCGTGCCGACGAGGCCCCTGAGCAGTACCAGGTAGCTGGGAGGCACTGGGGCCAGCCTCAGCCGGGCAGACCCAGTGCGGGGACTGGGTGGTGACCGCCCCCTCTCCTGCCCCAGCTGTACCACTGCAGGAGGGACGAGCACCTGCCTCCGGCTCACCAGCAGGACACACTAGACGTCGACCAGTTCCAAAGGTTGCCCCAGCTAGACCACGCAAACCTGATTCAACGCAAAGCCATCTCAGGTGGGTGCTGGGGCCTGGGCTGGGAGGGGGACACCCACAACCCCCCGGGCCCCAGGCAGGGTGAGGGTGAGAGCCAGGGAGGGCTGCCCCCAGGCCTTTCCTCTCCTGGAGCCTGGCTTCCCCCAGGTGGAAAGTCCCCGACGGCCCGTGCCCAGCGGAAAGCTGCCGATCCTCGGGGAAGGCGAGGAGCCTGGAGAGATGCCCCCGACAGCAGCCGGGTGGTGCAGGGGACCTGCGGTAGCACCTCGACCTCTCCCCTCCCCCAGGGTACGCCGGCTTCATCCCCCGGTTTGCTTGGGTGATGGGGATGAACTACCGCACCGGGGTCACGCAGGCTATGGACGAGTTTGACAAGAGCCAGGTATAAGGACATCAACCCCGGGCCCACCCCCGAGTGCCCAGTGGGGTCCATGCAGGCCCCAGGCCTCAGCCGGACTCCCTGGAGGAGCTCTGACTGGCGCTCACCCAAGGGGGGGCTGCTCTACACCAGCACAGGCGCTGGCCCTTGCCCTTTGGTTCAAGTCCAGGATCCCTGCCCTGGAGCCTCGTGGGGAGGGGAAGACGGGGCCGCCTGAGCACCAACCACTCCCAAGATCGCCAGCCCTGCCCCCACGGGGCGCTGTGCTGCGGTTGCCTGGTGCTGGCAGCGTGGGGCAGTCGCACATTCCTGTTTCCCCAGTTCCTGCTCAGAAACCCCGTCTGTGCCCTGGGCGAGAGGCTGCCCCAAACATACTGGCCCAGCAACACCATCTACGGCAGCCAGGGGCTGATACCCTTCTACATGGGGTTTGTGCCATGTGAGTGCCGACAAGAGGAGAGTCGGGCGGCGGGGGCCCCTTACCTGTGCTGCTCCGCAGGCACGGGTCCAGCTGTTATTTCCCCAGCCCCCCCCCACCCCCCCGGCCCCAAGATGTCCCCACCCCCTCTTCCCTCCCATGGGTGGGGACCAGGGTCTCTTGCACCAAGAGACCAGGCTGCCTTGGGATGACGCTGGCCCCGCAGGGGGGACAGGTGCCCAGGCAGCCCGAGCGCCTCAGATCCTGCGCGAACTGCCCCCATCCTGCGCCAGCAGCCCCGGCCCGGGCCAGAGGCGGCTCAGCGGTGGCACCGCCCCTCACAGCCACGCAGGGCCACTTTGCGATGACATTCGGCAACAGCACCCGCAAGGCCTACCAGGAGGAACTGGAGAGGAGAAACCGCACGCTATGAAAACGCTTTAATGGTGGAGTCTGCACAGCACGAGACGCCGGGACGGGAGGAAGAGCAGGTGCACACTGTGAGACGGGGCTATCAGAGGACAGGCTGTGGGCGAATAAAGAGTTCTCACGGCTTCCGTGCGCTCCCGGGGACCGGGCGGCCCTAGGCCACCTCCTCCTCGGCCTCCTCCTCAAACTCGCCCTCCTCCTCGGCCGTGGCGTCCTGGTACTGCTGGTACTCGGACACCAGGTCGTTCATGTTGCTCTCGGCCTCGGTGAACTCCATCTCGTCCATGCCCTCGCCCGTGTACCAGTGCAGGAAGGCCTTGCGCCGGAACATGGCCGTGAACTGCTCCGAGATGCGCTTGAACAGCTCCTGGATGGCCGTGCTGTTGCCGATGAAGGTGGCGGACATCTTGAGCCCCCGGGGCGGGATGTCGCAGACGGCCGTTTTCACATTGTTGGGGATCCACTCCACAAAATAGCTGCTATTCTTGTTCTGCACGTTAAGCATCTGCTCGTCCACCTCCTTCATGGACATGCGGCCCCTGAAAACAGCAGCCACCGTCAGGTAGCGGCCGTGGCGGGGGTCGCAGGCGGCCATCATGTTCTTGGCGTCGAACATCTGCTGGGTGAGCTCGGGCACCGTCAGGGCCCGGTACTGCTGGCTGCCCCGGCTGGTGAGTGGGGCGAAGCCGGGCATGAAGAAGTGCAGGCGGGGGAAGGGCACCATGTTGACAGCCAGCTTTCGCAGGTCAGCATTCAGCTGGCCAGGAAAGCGCAAGCAGGTGGTGACCCCACTCATGGTGGCCGACACCAGGTGGTTGAGGTCACCATAGGTGGGTGTGGTCAGCTTGAGGGTGCGGAAGCAGATGTCGTAGAGCGCCTCGTTGTCGATGCAGTAGGTCTCGTCCGTGTTCTCCACCAGCTGGTGGACGGAGAGGGTGGCGTTGTACGGCTCCACCACGGTGTCCGACACCTTGGGCGAGGGCACCACGCTGAAGGTGTTCATGATCCTGTCCGGGTACTCCTCCCGGATCTTGCTGATGAGGAGGGTCCCCATCCCAGACCCGGTCCCCCCGCCCAGCGAGTGGGTGAGCTGGAAGCCCTGCAGGCAGTCGCAGCTCTCGGCCTCCTTCCGCACAACGTCCAGCACCGAGTCCACCAGCTCCGCGCCCTCCGTGTAGTGCCCCTTGGCCCAGTTGTTACCAGCACCACTCTGGCCTGCAAGGGAGGGCAGCAGGTCACTCTTTGGCCTGCACTGTCACCGCTGATCACTAGGCCAGAAAAGCCCAGTAACGTGGTGCGGAGGGACACACAGCTGACCCTGCAGGTAAACCACAGGGACCCCCAAATAAGGCAGCAACCTGCTCAGCCAAAAACTCAGTCAGGGACCGGGCCGCTGTAGCTTAAGGATGAGCCAGCCCCTCCCACAGCAGCCCCTGCCAATTCCCAAGGACAGACGAGCCGGCGCGGCGTGCTCACTGCGGAGAGATTACATCGGCGGCTTCTCCCCTGATGGGACAGCTGGGCCTTCCTCCCAAAGCCGCTTTGAGAGGGATTGGGTGACTCGCAGGGGGAGCCGAGTGCCCGGCCAAGGGCGCTAGCTTCCGCTCAGAGCAGCGCATCGGGACCTGTGTTCGCGGTTCTGAGGCTGGTGACCTTGGGCACCCCTTGACCTTTGAGTCCTCCTGGCCACAGACCGCCACCCAGCCCCCATCCGCGACTCACCAAAGACGAAATTGTCCGGCCTGAAAATCTGCCCGAAGGGCCCCGAGCGCACGGAGTCCATGGTGCCGGGCTCCAGATCCACGAGCACGGCCCGGGGCACGTACTTGCCACCTAGGAGGGCCAAGAGAGCGTCAGCGAGAAACCGGCGGCAGGGCGGCAGGGGAGGGACGGGCAAGGGGCGTGCGGACTCACCGGTGGCCTCGTTGTAGTACACGTTGATCCGCTCCAGTTGTAGGTCGCTGTCGCCATGGTAAGTGCCGGTAGGGTCGATGCCATGCTCATCGCTTATCACCTCCCAGAACTGCGAGAGACGCGGGCGGGCCGGGGCTGAGTCACTCCGGCGGTGCCCGGGGCCGGCCCCGCCCCGGACGGGCGCGGCCCTCCCCTCCCCCCGGCTGCCGGCCAGGTCCCCAAGGGGCCCGCGCCCGAGACCCCGCCCGAACCCTGGCCCCGCGCTGGGCCGCAATGCGGGGGCGCCGCCCGCCCGCCCGCCGCCATTTTTCCTGTCCGCCCTTCCCGCCCCGCTGGTCCGCCCGCACAAGGCCCCGTCGCTCCACCGCCCACCTTAGCGCCGATCTGGTTGCCGCACTGGCCGGCCTGCAGGTGCACGATCTCCCTCATGGCGGCGGCGGCGCGGGCGAATAGACGGGAACGAGGGCCGAGACACGGGCGCGCAGAATGCTACAACCGACGCTCCGCCAACGCTTTATATATCCGTTGCGCACGCCTCCGCTAGCCTCCTATTGGGCTGCCAGAACGAGGATGGGAAGCGACGTCGTTTGATTGGCTTTAGCCCGGTCAATCGAGTCTCCTAACGCTCCCTTCCCCATTCCTTTTGCTGTTTATTGGTCAGCGCAGCCTCTGCTCCTCCTCTCAAAGTCCCCCCCCTTGCGTTGCAGTTCTCTGTCCATTGGATGTTTCAAATGATTGATTTGTACCCTCATTGGCTGCTTCCGGAGAGCAGCCGACAGGCTGGCGCTATTGGCTACGCCGAACCAGCGTCCTGGTAACCGCCTCAGTGCTGCAGGCGCGCGCGGGCTCCGGGGGCGTGCGCGCGCGCGGGCTTCGGCCCTCGGGGCCGAGGGCGGGCGCAGGCGCGAGCGGGGGTGCTGGGAAAGGCGCACGGGGCGGTGTCCTGCGCGCACGCGTACAGACTTCCCCGCGGTCGCGGGTGGGCGAGTGCGTTCTGGAGGGCTGATGTCTCCGGCCGCCGCCAAACGGGGGCGCGTGTGGCCACCCCGCGGGGTTTCGGGGCAAGAGGAGGGGCGTGAGGCCAATCACAGCGGAGACAAATAGGGCTCGGGGGCCCAGGGGCCGCGGCACCCCTCTTTGGGCCGCACGCCCGCTTGGGCGGCGGTCAGGTGAGGGAGCACGTGGGCCGCTGCGCCATGGCGGGAGCTGGGGAAGGGAAGGGCGGGGTGGGCGGAGCGGGTCCGAGCCCCGCCGCCTGGAGCTTGTTGTGGAGACCGCGGTAGCCACGCTCCCCGTCGCCTTGGTGCTTACCTCCAGCACAGCAAGCTCCGTGGATACGAGGGCGGCGCCCGGACCTCCCTCGCGGGCAGGCCCCCACCTGGGGCTGCTTCCGGGCCTGTTGCCCCAACGGTCGGTAGGCAGTTAGACGCGAGCCCAGCTAACACAATAGGTCAGGTAGAGGAGGTCATGGGGAGAAAGCCCTGGGTGCCTAGCAGCGGCCCAAACCGGGAAACGAGGACGTGGCCCCCAGGGAGCTGGCCTTGTGGTTTAGATCCCCTGACCTTTCATATCCCTGGTGACGCGGTTTGGGCCCCCCCCTTCCCTCCCATGGCAGGTTGCCACTCCTGCGGGTCAGACCCCTTTAGGTGGGAACAAGGGGCAGAAAACAGCCCCGAAGCGTGAAGCCCTGAGGACGGCGCGGTTCTGACCCACATCCAGTACATCTGGGCCTCAGCTGTGTTTCAGCTCCGGGCCAGAGAAGCAGCAAAACCAGACGGGCAACACCAGGGCTGCCATCGGGGCCGGCGGCCTTGACTAATGACCCCTGCCCTGGCGCTGGCAATCAGTAGAGACCAGGACCCCGAAAAGACACACTTGGAAAGCTGAGAAATATGCTGTTGGGCTCCTCCCTGGGCCTCCCCTGAAGTCCCCGCCCTTAAAAGCCCCCAGCGTGCTCTCCCTCTAGGGAGCCCCACTCTGCTTCCCTCCAGAAGCATTACCTTAACCTTCCCCTCTGCTACACTCCAAGGGCCCTGGGCCTCGGTGTTTCGCCCCACGAGTCCATTTCTCCTGCGAGTCACTTCTACCTCTGTGACTAAGTGCACTTTCTCTTCAAGTCTGAGTCTTGAGTCCGAGTTCTTAGCCAGCACTCAGGTACTGAGGGTACCAAACCAAGTTCCAGTCTGACTGCCTGCCTGCAACCTCGGTTACCGTCCTCGTGCCGTTCTTGCCACCAGTTCCACCAACACAACCTTGGATCGGCGCCTGAGCTGACACATGCCTCTGCTTTATCCTGCTCAAGCTGGGGGTGGGGGGCGGCGAGGCAAAACTTAGGAGGGAAAAATGTTAAATTACATGTGGTCACACCATTACTATGTTGGCTTAATAGCAGTACACTTATTATTATGTTTTTGTAACATTTAAAAAGGACAGATCACTCCCTCAGGTCTGCCCTGGACAGTTCCTGGCGGTGGCCGCTGCGCCACTGGATTCTGGTTTTCTCTGGTCAACTTACCCTCCTTTGTCCCCCAGGGGAGAGGGTGTTAGGGGCAATGCCTTGCTGTTCCTCCCCTTGGGGAGTGAGCTCTCCTGGCCTGGGATGCACAGCACCAGGCGGGCATTGCAGCAACTGTGGGGTCACAGCCCATCCCCATAGGAGGTGTTCTCCTGCAGGCCAGCTGCTGGGACAAGCAGCCCACTGGACACCGATTAGTCTTTGTGTCCCCTGGAGAGTGGTCTGCAGCTGGCTCCTCAGGGTGGCAGTCCTGGTGTCAAAGTGCAGGGCAGGCCTAGCAGGGCTTAGACCAGCCCTGTCCCCCACAAGCCGGCTGGGAAGGTGGCCCTGGCTTCTGCGGACCACAGGCCATGGCCCGTGTGGGGCACTGGATCACCACCTGGCATCCTGGGTCTGCACAGTGGCCAGTTTAGCTGCCCACGCAGCTGTGGCCAGGCCCTGGCCGTGCCTTGAGGAGGCCCCTCCACCTGGCAGCAGAGTTGTCACAAGTGGTCAGGAGAGGGAACAGATCAGGTTTCCCCCCAGGGAGGCACGCACTGCCCTGCTGAGGTTGCCCATGGAGGTGTCTCAACACCCTCCCCCGTAGGCTGTGGCCTGAGACGCCTCCTGGAAAAGGCCCCTGCTCCCAGTGGCCAGTGCCCACAGGGCCGCCAGTTAAGTATGGCACCCCCACTTGAGGGGAACAAAACAGAGGTAGTATTTATTGCCTGCCCTGGTCTGAGCCCCAAGCTCTCTGTGGCACCAGGTGGTCCACTCTGCCCCGCCCATTGCCCCTGGTGAAGAGGACAGTGGGACCCTGCCTGTGGTCCTGGGGCCGAAGTCTGAGGACTGTGGCTGCTGCTGCTGCAGGAGGCAGAGTGAGGGAGGCCCTGCACTCCCTACCCTGGGCCAAGGGCGTCCCTGCCCCCCTTGTGGAGCAGTGGGCCCAGGGAGGGCCAGTGGCCAGGTGGGAGGCAGGCCGGGACGGCCAGGCAGGGCTGTGGGAGCGCTGGGTGCCTGGCCCTCCTGTGCAGCCAGCAGCTGTTGGCGACATCCATAAGGGTGGCTTTGTTTACACCGGTGCCCATGGTCCCTGTGGGAGGGTGTGTTACCTCCAAGCTGGGCAGCAGGCAGACAGTCATTCGTGGCCTCAAAGGACCTGGCAGGCAGCCTTTGTGGGCGGCCTCACCCGCCCCGGAAGGAGAGGTGCTTCGGGTGCTTTCTTCCCCCCCTCGGCCTCCCCAGTCTCCCCAGGGAACTGGCCAGGCCAGCTCCTCCCAGCCCCTCCCCGCAGTTCCCATCAGAGAAACCACGTGAGGCTGATGTCAGACCAGAAGGAGTGTCCTGGGCTCACAGAAGAGGAGGGGACCCAAGCTGGGGCGCACAGGCCTGCCCCAGGGGCCTTGCTCCCACCAGGCCCCTCGTGGCTCACAGAGCAGAGGTTACTTCCCTTGGTGGACCCGGTGAACCCAGGCTCAGGAGGCCTAGGAGCTTATTGGGGGCAGGGGGGGGCGGGCTGCAGCGCACAGGAGGGGTGAGGGACAGAGGACCTGGGGTATAGGGGGTGCCTAAGGGCACTGTGGGTGGGACACAGGAGGGGGACGGAGAGGGCCTTGGGGTAGGACATGGAGCGGGCCTGAAGGAACCCAAGGGATAGTAAAAGGACTGGACCACAAGCAACGATGGGCCGGAGCTACCCCCGACCTTCCTGACCATTCCCACCCCTCCAGTCCACGGGGAACTCATCCCTGGACTGGGCGGAGGTGCGGGCTAGGGCAGCAGCTGCTTCTGGAACACATGGCACCCAGGTCCCGACAGGGGTGGCTCTCTGGCCCCTCTCAGCGCAGGGTTGTGGGCGAGAGCCTTAACCTACTGAGGCTTTCTCTCCTGGTTGGTGGGGTGCAGGGTCGGGCTGAGGTGGTGGGCAGCCCCGGGCTGCCTGGGCAGGAGGCCCAGGCCGCTTCCCTGGTGTCTGGTTACGGGCTGGCGGCAGACAACCCTTCCTGGGTGGAAACCCAACGCGCCACCGCGGGGAGGGGCGGGGGCCGAGGGGGGAGGAGCAGGTGCCAGCTCCAGGTGGGGGGACGCCGCTCAGCCTCGCGCTTCGTCACCCGGCGGGAGGTCTTTGCTCCCCTCGAGCGCCGGCTCCAGGTGCGGGCGGCGCCCGGGGTTGGGGCAGCACCCGCTTCCTGGTAGGTCTCCCGGGCTGAGCGGCCCTGGCGGCCCGCAAGGCGGTCCCGGGCGCCCGGAAAACGTGCGACAGCTCTTGTTCCCTGCGGGCCCGGCGGGCAGCCCCGCGCCCCACCCCTCCTGGAGAGAGAAAAAGGCAGAATCGGGATCCGGGAGACGAGGCGCCTCGGGGCCACCCGGTCCCCCTCTCACTGCGCCACACGCCAACCCAGCTGGGAGGCCGCGCCGCGGGTGGGTGACGCCCTCCAGGCCGACCCGCGACAGTGGGGCTGGGCGGCGGAAGGGCTGCCCGCGCCCGCCTCCTCGCGCGCGGCCTCCGGGCGGCGGGGCGTGGGAACCGGCGCCCCTGCCTGTGCCCGCCGTGAAAGGCCCAGCTGCGTCCGCCTCTCCGGACTCCAGGTTTCTACTTCGGGAAGCCTCAATGCTCCCGACCGCCGCTCGTGCCTTCTGCCCCCGGCGGCCGCGGAGAGAAACCATTGCAGCCGGGGCGGGGGTCCCCTGTGTGTCCACCCCTGCGGGGCGGTCCGCTCCCACGCGGCTCGCTGGCGCCCCCGAGCGTCCGCTAGGGGCAGCAGAGGCGCTGCTGCAACCCCAGCGCGGGGGACGGGGGTCTCCAGGCAAGGCCTGTCCGCGAGGAAAGACCACCCACATCTGGGTCACTGCCTCGTTTATTTGCCAAGAAGGCGAACCGGCTGCCTCCGAAGTCCGCTGCTGTTGGGATCCCCCAGGAAACCCAGAGCTCAGTGTGGCGCGAGGGCGCCCCCCTCACAACTGCTGGGAGGCCAGGATCTCGGGGTTCTCGTAGCAGTGGGCCTCCCTGGTGGCGGCGGGAGACGCGAAGCAGCGGCTCAGCAGCCGGTCCCAGGGCTCCAGGGAGCGCAGCCCGAGGGGGAGCCACGCCCAGGACCGAAGGGGGCGGGGCAGCCAGGCTGACCGTCGCCGCTGCAGAACGTTGACCAAGACGACGAGGAGCACCAGCGCCACCAGGGGCCCCCCGACCGCAGCCAGCACGGTGTCCCCCGCCAGGGAGAGCCCGAAGGCAGCCAGGGGCAGCAGCAGGAAGCTGAGCAGTAGGTAGGCGACCGCCACCCAGCGGTAGCGGGCGGTCAGGTCTCCGAAGCGCTTGGCCAGCGGGAGGGGCAGCCGCAGGGCAGGCACTACGTACCACAGCAGGATGCCAGCCAAGTTGAAGAAGAAGTGGATGAGGGCGACCTGGAGGGCGGGAGGGCGGGCGGGGCCTGTGACACGGGGCCCCCTGGGCCCCCCAGGTTGCTGCTCAGCCACCCTGGCAGAAAGGGCGGGAAGCCCGGAGCCAGCCCTGGGTGCCGCTCACGGAAAGAGACAGGCCACCTGGGAGGGCAGGTTCCGGCCAGGTGCGGGCCTGCGGCTCCTGCACCACCACCCCCTTTGAGGGTGGCCGCATAGCCCACAAGCAAGCGCCTGGATCCAATGACCCCACCCCCATCCCCCAGGGCTGGGCATAGCTTGCCCATGCCTCATGCCCAGTGATGCGGCTCCTTCTCATCCCTCAGTGGGCTTGGCCACCCAGCCCTCGGCCCCGGGCTGGGGCAGGGCTCCTGTGGGGGGAGGTGCAGCGCCCCAGTGGAGAAAACACGCCCTGTCCAAGGGCTGCCGGACCCGAGGCGTGGGTGCCAGTGGGCACAGGAGCGAGGGGGTCCTGGCGGGGAGTGCAGCACGGCCCTGCTCACGGGGGTCTGAGCGGACAGCCGGGGGTCGGCAAGGGCCCAGGCTTCCCTCTTCCTGTGGGCAGTAGCCCAGCAGGGTTGGGCTTCCGGGAGCTGCACCTGTCGGGCCCCCAGGCGGAATCGGCGGCCGAGGGATGCTCAGCTGCAGCCAGGGACCCCGCGGAGCCAGCAGAACTGGACGGAACGGGGCACAGGGCGCTGAGTGGCCGCCTGGAGGCAGGGGTTGCCCAGCACGGCAGGGGCACAGCGTGTCGTCCAGGCAGGGGCCCAGTGGGCTTAGGTGACCAGTGGGGGGGGGAGTACCCTGGAGGGGGTGGAATAGAGGTGCTCCAGGCCCCCCAGGGGCAGGAGGCCTGCAAGGAACACAGGCAGGCGCACAGGGTGAGGAGTTGGAGGGACAGGGAGAGAGGTGCCGAGGGCACCCAGGACTGCAGCAGGGCTGGGGGTCCCAGGGATGCCCACAGGATCCCCGGGTCCACGGAGATGGGGCTGTTCGTCTGGGCAGGCGGCTGGGGGTGGGTCCCTGGAGAGCTTCAGCCTGTGGCCAGGCCGGGACAGGCTTCACATGGCCTGTCCACCAGCCTGGGCGTGGGGGGCTGGGGGCTGGGGACTGGGTGTGGGGAGAGCGGTACCTGGAGGGCACTGAGCAGCATGCTGGGGGGGCTGGCCAGGGCGGCCAGCAGGGCCGTGGCGGTCGTGCCGATGTTGGAGCCCAGCAAGAGGGGGTATGCCCGCTCCAGGCTGATCACCCCGACCCCTGGGGGAGCTGGAGGTCAGCTCTGGGCCCCGGGCCCGGGCCCCACGCCCCACGGCCGGGTGCCCGCCCACCCGGCTCACCCAGGAGCGGCACGATGGCCGCTGTGAAGACGCTGCTGCTCTGGAGCACGAAGGTCAGGCCGGCGCCCACCAGGATGGCCAGGTAGCCGCTGAGCCAGCCGACCGGGAAGGGGAAGTCTGGGGAGGAGGCCGGGTCACCCCCCGGCCCAGCCTCCCCACCCCAGCAGGGCCCCCAGCCTTGGTCCTGCGTCCAGACGCACCGGCGTTGAGGACTGCCCTCACGGCCCGGGCCACCCGGCCGTGCAGCACGGAGTTCAGCAGCCTGACGAGGAGGACCAGGCAGGTGCACAGAGCGAGCAGGGAGCCGGCCAGCAGGACGAAGCCCACGGCCAGGTCTGTGAGCGCGGTGCCTGCGAACAGGTGGTAGCCTGGTGGCGAGGCGGGAGGGGTGAGTGGCGGAGCGGCAGCCCTCCTGCGGGGCAGGCAGGGACAGGTGGGGGGCATGGGGCCTCACAGGGCAGCCGCTCCACGGGGGCCGAGCCGTTCCTCTCAGGGCAGGGGCCGGCGGCGGCTGATGCACAGTTGCTGCTGTTCCCTGGGGCCTGGGCGGACAGGCAGGGTGGGTTCAGGGCAGGCTCAGAGCCAGCAGGGCTGGACAATTCAGCAGGTTGGCGGGCGGCGGTCAGAGACACCTCACCGTGTCCGCCCTGGTACCGCACCATCGCTTAATGAGGCTGCTGTTGGTGGCGTTGCCCGCGGCGCTGCTGGCTATCACGTCTGCATCCAGCTGCGGACAGAGGGGTTGCGACCCTGTGCTGGGCTCTGAGGAACCTGGCCGGAGCTCAGGCCACTGCGGGGGCCCAGATGCTCCTCCTCTGGGCATGGGGGGCCTCCAAGGGCAGCCGCGGGCCTCACCTGCACAAGGAGGTGTGTGAGCGGCTGCGTCAGCACCTTGAGGATGTCGGGCGCGCGCCCGCGGGCCTGCATGCTGGCGGCCCCCAGGACCAGGGCGCTGAGTTTCTCCAGCGGCGCCGCGGCGCCCTCCAGCGGCAGCAGCACCAGCACCGTGAGCCAGTTGAAGATGCTGTGCACGGCCGAGCCACCGAAGGCCCTGCGGCCGCGCAGAGCAGAGCGATGGGCGGGGCCTGCGGCCTGGGCTCTCCGCGGAGGGCGGTCCCAGCCCTGCCGGGGGCGGGGCGGGGCGGGGCGGGGCGGGGCAGGGGGGGGCGCTCACCTCCGAAACTCATCTCGGTGCCCCGACTGCGCCATGGAGACCAGGGTGCTGGTGATGGACGTGCCTACGTTGACGCCCATGATGATGGGCACAGACGCCCTGACGGTCAGCACTGTGGGGCGGCGGGGCTCGTCAGCCTCCGGCACCGCCCTCCCCCCACCGTCCCGGGACAGGGGGAGCACTCACGCTTGGAGGCCACCATGCTGACCACGATGGCGGACGACGTGCTGGAGCTCTGCACGAGCACTGTGGCCAACACCCCGATGACCAGTCCGGCCACGGGGCTGGATAGCACCACGTCGTCCTTGAAGATGTCTCCAGCCACTTTGCCTGCGCCCGGGAGAGGTGCGGTGAGGCCACGAAGGGCCGGCTGCCTGCCTCAGCCACCCCACTGGCCACTCACCGCCCAGCAGCTGGAAGGCGGAGCTCAGGATGTCCAGCGAGCAGATGAAGAGGTAGAGGCCGCCCAGGAGGCCACAGGCCTTGAGGAAGCCGCGGAGCACACGCAGCAGTCTGCCGGGGGCACTGAGCTCTGAGGGCACAGGGCGGTGCTTTCCACGGCCTGCCCTGCCCCCCACCCCCTCCGATGGCCTCTTTGTCCACCCTCCTCCCAGGAGCCTAGCTGCCAGCAGGAGGGACGAGGGGCAGGCAGCCCAGCGGAGCGGAGCAGAGCAGAGGGTGGTCTTCGTGGAGGGCCCCCCATTGGGGCAGACACCCTCCTGCCTTCTCTGCCCAGGGACCCTCGCCTGCTCAGACTCTGGGGAGCCAGAGCCCCCTCTGGCCAGCTTCCTGGCACCTCCGGACCCACCTCTCCAGGACTGGCCAGTGTCCTTCAGCTGAGGGAGGGCCCAGGGGTCCATGTTTCCCTCTTCCAAGACAGGGGCAAGACTGGAGGTCCCTGCAGGGGTCGGGGTCAGGAAGAGCCAGGGACCTAACCGTTTGCTGGACACCCCCAGATGGGTTCAGAAGCGGGTGGGGGATGGGGACAGGAGCTTGGGGTGAGGGGCAGAGGCAGGAAGTGGAGGGGGGGCGCCAGTCCATCTGGCCTTGACTGGGGTTGGCCTGAGCCCCCACCCTGCTTGCCAGGAGCCGGGGGGGGGGGGGGGGGGGGCCAAGGGCTGGGCTCCTGGTACCTGCATCACCCAGACTCTGGTCCACCAGGCCAACGGTGTCCAGGGTGGGAGGGCTGACGTGGCCGCCGGCGAGGGAGTTGGGCATGGATTTCCGGCGGAGGCAGACCCAGGCCCGAGCCCAGATCTGGGGGCGGAAGGGCAGGTCAGACCCTTCTCCCGCCCTTGCCCTGCCTCACCCCCAGACCCCTAACCTGAGAGTGTAGAAGCCGTCCCCCCTCCCCACCCCGCCACCTTGGTGACCTCCCCCGTCCTCCACCCAGAGGCAGATGGCTTCCGTGCCCTCGGGTGCTGCCGGGCACGCCCCGTGCAGTTTCAGGGGGCAGCACAGCTCCCTCCCGGGTCCTGGCTGGAAGCAGGCCCGGCGGGTGGTCCAGGGCGTAGGGTGCTGAGGTGCCGGCCAGAGTGGCCGGGAGCCTGGAACCCAGGGCCTCTTCTATCCGGTGCCATCCAGGCCACCGCTCACACCTCGGCCTCCGACACCCAACGGTGCCGTCTCCGCGAGAGATAAGGGACCCCAGTGACGGAGGCAGGAGCCCGGGCGCCCCGCTGAACCTCAGGGCTCCTCTCCTTGGCCTGCCGTGTCGGGGGCCCCATCTAGCCCTCTGCCCCCACTTTCTCCCGGTCCCCACCTGCTCGCCTGCAGGCTGGCTCTTGCCTTGGGAGGGCAGTGGTGGCCCCGGGGCCCCCCCCGCCCCCCCGTGCTCGCAGCTCCTACCTGTGCGGGGAGTGAGGGGGCGCCTGTGGGGAGGACACACGGGGCAGGAGCAGCCGCAGGTCAAAGAGCCGCGGGCGCACACGTGACCGGCTCCGCACTGCGCCCCGTTAATGTTCACCCAGGCGCGAGGCCCCCCAGCCCCCGTCGGAGCCCGGGCACCTGCCTTGTCTGTGTCCTGCCGCCACCCTGGGGCAGGGGCTCCGGCCGTGCTGGGACGGGGGCACGGCAAGGCGCGCTGGACTCCCACAAGCAGGTGCCTGCGTGACACTCGGTGACACACTGTGACGCTGTGTCACGTGGCGCACTGCCCACCCAGCACAGGGCAGCGTGCTGGGGCTCTGGCTGATCAGCCTGGGGGTCCTGTGGGAGGTCTGCCTGGAGCTCTGCGGGCTCACCTGGGTCTGGTCGCCCCCGCCCCCAGCCGACGATGCTGGGAGAGAAGCCCCTCATATAGCTGGGCAGGGAGGTGCCTGCCCCTGGGGCCCCGGGGCAGGGCTGCAAAGAGCCCCCCACCCCCCACAGGCTCAGCCTGTGGAGACCAGCGACGGTAGGGGGTGTCAGGCTTCCACCCAGCCCCACCTGGACCAGGAGGCGTGGCCCACCCTGCTCTCTGCACAGCGGTGCCCTGCTGGCCCCACTGCTTGTGGGGCGCCCCTTCCTGGGGTCACTCCCCCCCTGCTCCTAGGGTGCTGGGAGGGAGAGCAGCTCCTCCCCCCTCAGGCCCGGTCTCCCTGGGGACCTGCTGGCTCCGCACAGCACAGCACAGCACAGCACAGCACGTGCCCGCGGCCCAGCAGTCCCGCGTGCCCGGGGGACTTTGCCCCGGGGAAGGAGGGGGTTTCCGAGTGTCCTCTCAGCAGATTCCCTGCCCCCTCCGCTCCTGCCACCCACCACCACCCAGGGCAGCCCAGCAGCCCCTCCCACGGGGTCCTGAGTGACAGCTGCTTCCCGGGGAGGGGGGGATGGTGGAGACGTGCAGCCTGCCCCCCCCCCCGGGGCGTCTGTGCCCACCGCCTCCAGCACCTGCTGTGGCCCCTCCGAAGGCCCGCGCGGTGGCCCCTGGGGGTCAGAAGGAAGCTGAGGTCGGGAAAGGGCCGGGGGTGGGCGTGGCCCTGCTGAGCTGGAGACCTCGGGCAGGTCTCCACCCTCCCTGGGCTGGGAGCTGACCCTCTCCTCGGACACTGGTCACAGCAGTGACCCACGCCTGCAGGGGACCCTCTCGGAACAGCAGAGGACACACAGTGGGGGGGTTAGCGAGCTTTGTTGAGAGGAAGAACTCCACAGGGCTGCCTGGAGGAGGTGGCCCTCCCTCCACGCCCAACTCAGATGTTGGGACGGTCACGCTGCAGCAGGGCCCGAACGGCCTTGGCCGGCCCCGGGGACCGGCCACCAGACCCTCTGAGGCGCTGCCTTCCGAGCAGAGCCCAGGCCTGGGGTGGGCTGACAGAAGGCTCCCACCACAGCGACCCCGCCCCGTGTCTGCGCACAGGCTAGCTCGGGGTCTGGGAATCCCAGCTGGACTTGACAGGCGGCCGCTGGTCCCTGTAGAGTCTCACAGCACTGTGGCCGCTGCCCCGACCTTGGGCCACGACTGGGGTGTCGGTGGCGGGCAGCCCTCGGGACTCTCAGTCCCCAGGCTGCTCCGGGCGGGTGAGCCTCCATCGGAGGTGCCGAGGCAGGTGCGAGGCGAGAGCCGCCGCAGCCGGAGCTCAGGCCTCGGGGCGGCCCGGGGGCTCCCAGCAGAGGGGGCTGCAGCCCCAGCAGCAGCAGCTGGCCCGGGGGAAGTGGGGCTGGGGCCCCAAGGTGGGGCAGAGGGTGGCCGGCTGCTGAGTGACGGTGGTGACCCCTTTGAGGGGTGCAGGGGGCCGGGGCTCCACTCGGGGCGGCTCCCGCTCGGCCCTGATGGCCAGGAAGGCGGCCAGGTCGAGGTCCAGCATGGCCACCCCCCCACGGGGCGTGGGTGTGCTCTGGCGGCACTGCGGGCAGGGGATCCAGCGCTGCTCGTGCGCCGGCGTGTCCAGGCGCCGCACGCACGCCTGGCAGAAGGTGTGGCCGCAGTACAGGCGGCGGGGCAGGTGCCCCGCGAGGTCGTAGGCCGAGTAGCAGACGATGCAGTCGCCGCGGCGGCCCCCGGCGGCTGTCCCCTCCTCGGAGGCCTGGAGACCCTCTGGCTGCAGCATCCTGCAGGGGGGTGCGGGGAGCTGCAGCGGGCCCCACCTGCCTCTGCTGCTGTCCTCCGCGGTCAGGGCCCTGGCACCTGGAGCCCGCCCGGGAGGCCAGGCGTGTGTGCCTGCCAGGGTTTGGGCGCAGCCTGGGTCCCCGTGAGCCAGCATCCTGCCAGCTGTCTGGCCCTCCTCCACAGCCCGCCTGCGCTGCCGCAGGCCCCCACCCGCCCCAGCCTGCCCGGGCCCAGGCCTCTTACCTGCATCCGCTCTGCTGGGTGGCTGTGCCCAGCCAGAGGGTGGCCGGGCGTGGGGGGACCCAGGGCGCCCTGCGGCTCCCTCCCTGGGGCTCACGTTACTGGCCGAGCCGGAGTCGGCAGGGAGGCAGGTGGTGGCTGCAGGCGGGCGGGCTCCCCTTTCAGCCACAAAGCACTTGCAACTAGATCCACCGGCGCCCCTCCGCTCTGCCCTGCCCCCACCCCCGGTGCCCGGACGGGGTGCCACTAACCCGTACCCAGGCCCGGCTGTGCTGCTGCTCCCCTTCCCGCTTCCCCCACCCAGCCTGCCCCCACCCCCACCCCCACCCCCAGCTCCAGCTCCAGCTCCAACCCCATACTCCCTCCTGTCTCCCCACTCTCATACTCCCCCTCCATGGTAGGAAAGCTTTCTGGTCCTGTCGTGGGCGTTGCCAGTTTGTCCTCTCAGATCAAGCATCGCCTCCTCCAGGAAGCCTGCCAGGACCCCCACCAGCTCAGAGCCCTGAGGGACCTGCTGTGCCCCAGCTCAGCCCCAGTGTGAGAGTCCTTGTTGCTTGGCCCCCGCACCTTCATCATGGAGTGGTGGCCGGCCCCAGAAGGCCCGCAGGGGCACTCAGGCACAGGCACAGAGGTCCCCACGCACTCTTGGGCCACCAGAAGCTCCCTGAGGTGCACGACACCGTGGGCAGCCCTGGACACTCCTGTCCGGAGCCACCTCCTTCCAAGGCCTGCCCAGTGATGGGGACACAGGCATAGCAGTGTGGGGTGTGTGGAGAAGGGTTGGGACAGGGTCAGGGCCCCCAGGGCCCTCTCCGGCTGGCTGGGAGGAAGTCAAAGGCCAGAGGGGCCCGTCCGTACGCCCATCGCCACCCTGGTCCACCAGACCCTTGGACTGGCCGGACAGCTTTCTGTAGCCCGCCTGGGTGGGGGGCACCTTCTGGTGGGAACTGGCCACACCCAAGGACCCGCACAGTCAGGCCAATGACATGTCTGTCCACGCCCAAAGACCGGTCCTGCCATGCGGCCAGTCACTGTGGGTCAGGGGAGGGCCAGCTCCAGGACCTGTCTGTCCTGCGGGGCCAGCTCCGACCTCCTCCTCCTCCTCCTTGGGCCACTGCTGCCCAGCCCCGGAAACGTCAGGGCGCCCGGCGCGGGCCTCCACTGACTCCTCGCGCCGGCATCCCGGCCCCGCCCCGGTGGTGAGGCAACCCCGCGCCCAGCAGCCGGGCTTCCCGCACGCACGTCCTCCCGGGCAGGCGAGCTGCGCGCGGTGGGGGCCTGGAGGGGGACAGGTGCTCTGCGGGCCACCGCCACCCTCTCTCTGCCCCCACCCCGAGCCTTTGCAGCCCACCTCCTCCAGGAGGCCCAGGCCCTGGGGGCTGGACGGGGCCAAACGGCACAGCCTGGTGCCCCATGGCCGATGCCCGGGGACTGGCTGTTCCGTGGGAAGCCAGAAGAACGTCCCCGCTGAGGAAGGGCGAGGATGACTCACGGTGGTGAGCAGGGCTCGGGCCGGCCGCCGGGCTCCCTCTCCCAGGAACCTGCCAGCCCCGGTCCCACCCACCACTGGTCTTCCGACCCGGTCCTCCTCCCGGAGGCCTCTCTGGGGGCTGCACCCCCAGGTTCCGTGCACAGCACCTGCTGTCGGACCCACAGACCGACATGTCTCCGGGCTTGAACCCAGGCCCGGCCAGGGCAGGGGACACGCTCCCGCCCTCCTGTCCGCCTCTGGGCGGATCTGAGACCTGGGGTGCAGGGCAGAGGATTGCGATATAGTGGCACCCTGCCCCCAAATGTCTCACGGAGTCTGGGGGCCAGAGGTGTCATCCAGCCCAGGTCTCCTCCCGAAAGGAATCAACTGAAGAAAGCTCGCTCTGCTTTATTTCCTAGGCGTGGCCCTGAGTGAGGGGCCAAGAGGGGCTCAAGGGTGTTCCTGGGCTGCCGCCACGGCCAGCACCCAGGGCCCCTTTTCCATGCGTCTGAGCTGAGCTGTTGGCCTCTGTGGCACACAGATGCCCCTGTCTAGGGTGAAGTGGCCAACGCCTGTGACAGTGGCCCGGTGGCTGCCCCACACGTCCCCACAGCTGTGGCTGCCTGCACGGAGTTCTGGGCCTGCGAGGTGGGGGCGTCCTGGGCAGGCCCACAGCCCTGCAGGGGCCGGGCTAGGAGACAACACAGCAGCAGCTGTGGCAGCGGCAGAACCGAGGGCAGTGGCAGCAGGAGCAGCAGGGGCAGCACCAGCAGTGGTGGGCGATGTCGTCACCGCGCTCGATGGGCGGCAGGCCCGTGTAGGTCAGTCCTGCAGGGCGCTGCCCACGGCAGCAGGGGTTGCCCGGCTGCGGCCAGGCCTGCTGGCCCTTGACGAAGGCGGTCCCCTTTGCACCCTTGGCGCCCTTGGCGCCCTTGGCACCCTTGGGCCCTTGGGCCTCCTCGATGGGCTGCAGGAGGCGGGTGGGCTCCGGGGCGCAGGGGCCCACGGGCAGAGGCTGCAGCTCCATGGAGCAGGGAGTCCCCTCCAGCTGCCGCTCCAGGTCAGGCCGCAGGTGGGCCCGGGGGATGCTGATGTGGGCGTAGGGGTTCTTGACGACCATCTCGTGGGGGTCCATGGCCTGCCTGGCGGGGTGGGCAGAGGGGAGTATTGGCTCCTCAGAGGGGGATGGCCACAGCCCAAGAGAGCGGCCGCCCAGGAAAAGCCAGGCTCATGTCCGTGGGCACCGACTGGGAGGGACAGTGAGGACCAGGCTCCCAGCCGCCCCCCCAGGGGTCTCTTCCTTCCCTGAGTGGGGGTGCCCTGGATGGAGCTGGGCGTGGGGGGAGGGGGTCTGGAGACGCAGCTGAGCCGGCCCCACAGGGGAGCCCCAGTGCAGGGAAGGCCCGGACCCACCTGAAGCAGCAGTGGTGGTCTGTGCTCTCCTCCTCCAGGCCAAGTCCCAGCGCCTGTGAGCAGAGCGACTGGCAGCAGCCTTTTCCCTCCCCGGGAGGGGTGGGGCCATGGGCGGGACTCAAAAACGGGGTTCCCAGGATCCCGAGAGGCTTAGCTCCTCCCGCACAGAGGCTACCCACCCTTTCTTCTGAGGTGGGCGGTGGCCATGGCCTGGCTCTGAGGGGCACTGCCAGCCTGGGTGACTCAGCCTGGATGCATCCCAGCCATGCCCTGGGTGCAGGAAGGGGGGTGGGGACGGGGAGCCTGGGGTCAGGCCCTCAGACCTCAACCCCCAGTGGTCCGGGGGCTCAAGCCACTGCCCCCACGCCTCAGCGCCCATGCTTCGTGGCGGAGGGTAGAGGTCCTCACTGGGACCACCGCCCCTGCCCGGCAGACTGGGACAGGGCCGTTTGAGAGCACAGACCACTCAGAGGGTTACCTTTTATTTTTTATTTATTTACAAAAAGATTTTTAAAATTTACTTTTAGAGAGAGGGGAAGGGAGGGAAACACCAATTGGTTGCCTCTGGCACGCCTCCAACTGAGGACCTGGCCCACAACCCAGGCATGTGCCCTGACTGGGAATCGAACCGGCGGCCTTTCGGTTTGTGAGTGGACACCCAACCCACTGAGCCACACCAGCCAGGGCAATTTTTGTTTGTAACTGATGAGAAGCTGGTTTACACACTTTTGCTGATTAAAACGTACTCGTCTTACAACTGGCAACGCGCGCTTCATACGCAGGTGACATTTCTCACTCATTTCTGAACCCGCCTCCCTCCGCTGCCTGGGCTCCCGCCGCCCTGAGTCTCCCTGCCCGTCCTTGGCCCTGGAGCCCGCTCCCACCGTCGTCTGTAAGGTGGCATTTAGCACCTGCCACACAAGGCGGCCGTGCGTGTGCGGGTGACAATGGACGCAAACATTTGTCAACACTGGCACTCGTGAGCTCTCCCTGGGGGCGACCCGGTGCGTAGGGTGCGGCCGGGACCGGCACCCCCAGTCCTTGGTGCCCCGGGGAACCCACAGGAAGGGCGAGATCAAATCAGACGTGGTTCAGAAGCCAGGGTCATCCTGGTGGCATGCGTGGGTCCGGTCGGACCGGTCTGGACACGAGTTCTACCGATGCGCCAACCAATGGGGGGCGGGCGGGGAAGTGGGCCTCGAACGCCGGAGGCCGGGGACGGGGGCCTTCTGCGCAGGCGCCGTAAACCCCGCCCACCGCTTCTGCAGACTCCGCCCCTCGCGGGGAGGCGGATCTAACGCATGCGCGGAACAAACCGAGGCGGCCTGTGGGAACTTTATTCCCCATAAGCCTCCGCGCTCGAGGGTTTCCTTAAAGACCCGGCTCGGGGTCTGCTGGCCTCGGACCGCCCAGAACCGGGCTTGGGCCGCCCCAGCTCTGAACCACGGAGCTCGCGAGGAGTGGACTTTGGCGGGCTGGACGCGGGGGCGTTCACGGGGCGGGACCTCGTCGCGGGGGGCGGGGCATCGGGGCGGGGGCGGAGCCTGGTGCCCCCGTGCGCGCGCCCAGCGGGTGAGTGGCGGGGCTGTGTGGAGCCCGTGGCAGAGGCTGGGCTCCCAAGTGTCCCCTGGCCGAGGCGGCCTCAGCTGCCCCCCTCGAGAGGCACCTGCTCACTTGCGCACCTCTCACACCTGCTCCTGCTGAATGACATGAAGCAGGCCCACACACTAGCCCCAGGTCACACAGGGCACAAAGTCGGCCCCAAGGGCCGGGGCCGCTCCTCCAGCCTGTCTTGCCCCCGGGCTCCCTCACCAGGAATGCCGACCCCTCTGGGCTCTGTGGCCCCGCAGGACGCGGGGGCCACAGGCAGCCTTGCCCACACAGGGTGGAGGGGGCCGTGGCCTGAACGGGCCGGGACAGCCCAGGGTTAGAAGCGGGCCCAGTGTAGGTTCCAAGACTGCAGGCATGCTGCGTGGTGGCCACGGCAGGTCAGGAGACGGTGGCACTCGGGGGCCCTGCAGCCCTGGTCCCCTGCCTTGTAGTTGCCACCAGGTCCTCTGCCCTCTGTCTCTGCGGGCGCCCCGCAGGCAGAGGGTGTATCCCAGGGGAACAGGGAAGCCTGGCTCAAGGAAGCCTTCCTCCTTGAGGAAGCAGAAAGGAATGGGGCTGGGTGGAGTCCGGTTAGCACTCAGCTGTGCGGCCGCTGGGTACGTGCTGGGGTGCAGAAAAGGGCCACTCCAGCCTGAGTAGGTGCGCGTCCTCCGTGGGCTGTCCTGCAGGGGCCTGTCCCGCTGTCTGACCTTCCAAACACCCCTCACTCCACCCATCTGTCTGGCCGCCCGGAAGTCTTCTCCCAACTCCTGTCTGTCTCTCCGTCCACTCCTCTGATACATGCCTGCCCTTAGGGCCGCGTCGCCCTTCTGGAGCCTGCCAGCTCCGGGCAGAGCCCGGGTGCCCCTGTGAGCTGGGAAACTCCGGAGCATCCCCACGGGGTGCTGAGGGGAAGGACGAGTAGAGACCCTGACTCTAGGGGGTGGGGGATGGGGGATGGGGAGGCACTGGCTGTCTCGAGGAGGAGCCCTGGGAACCAGCTTTCCAGGGACCACATCTTGGCTCCCCTTCCCTCCTTCCCGCACTGCGAGGCTTCGGGCTGCGAAAAGATTTCCTTTCCAGAATTGGGGGTGGGGGACTTGACTAGGAACCAGGGTCGGCCGGGCGGGGACAGGGGGTGGGGGTGGGGCGGAGGAGGGGCGACGCGGGAGTCATCACCCGCACGCGGTCCGCGGGCGATGGGCGACTCTCGGAGCGGGCGCCGGGCCCTCTGCGGATTGAGGGGCGGCCGAGAGACTGGCCCCGCCCCGCGGACCCCGCGCGGGTCCCCAGACGGGGGGTGGCGCTGCAGGCGCGGGCGGGCGCCGCGCGCACTGCGGTCCCCGCGCCTCCGCCGCAGAGCGCGCCACGCTTCGTACGCACCTGCCGCCGCCGCGCCGCACCGAGCCCGCGCCCCGCGCCCCGCGCCCCCCGGAGTCGCCGCGGCCGCGCCATCGCCCCGGGTCGCCACCGGAGCCACCGGAGACGCAGGGCCGAAGCGCGGACGCCGCATCCGGGCCTGCCTTTGAGACAACCTCTGCGGCGGCGGCGCGCTGCTCGGGGACGCCAGGCTGGGGCAGGTGAGCGCGGGCGGGGCGGGACGGCCTCGGGGTCCGGACGTGCTGCTCCTCCCCACCCCAATAGGGGTCGGGCCTTGGGGGCGGGGACTGGGAGGGGGCTGGCTTCCGAGGCCAGCGAGGGTCAGGGTCAGAGGTTGGGCGCGGGGTCTTTTGTGCCGGACAAGGGCGAGGGTGATGGTGGGCCGGGGCGCTGCCCTCACGCCGTCTCTCACCTGCAGCTCGGGCCTGGTCCAGGCCTCTTCCCTGCTCCCGCCACCGACGAGCCGTCGGCCCTGGTCCACCCGCAGCCAGGGCTCCGGCTAGCTGCCTTCCTTGGGCACGCTGCCCTGGAGTCATGGGGCCCACCTAGCCCCTGCCTGCCCGGATGTCCCAGCCCGGGGACTGCTGACCTCGGCTGCAGGGGGAGCCCCGCCAAAGCCCCCTCACCAGCCTCAGCAGCCAGAGACCCTGGGTGAACCCCTGGGCCAGACCTCCAGCCCAGGGCAGCCTCCCACGCCCCCCTGCCCCTGCCTCCCTCCACCTCCCCCGCCCCTTCCTCCTCCTCCCAGGACTGAACCACAGAAGCCACTGTGGCCACTAGGAGGGGCCCTGCCCCCTCAGCTCTCACTGGTCAACCCCAAGAGTCCTCAGGGTGGCCGGGGTCCCCACCAGGCCTGGCGGGACCAGGATGCTGCCCCTGCTCCTCCCCCCCGGCCCCACCCAACGCCCCCTCCCACCTTAACACCCAGTCTGACAGGAGACAGCCGGATGCCGGCTGACCCTGGGCCCGACGCGGGCAGTGGCTGGCCGGGCCTCCTCATGTCCTGCCTGAAGGGCCCCCATGTCATCCTCAAGATGGAGGCCATGAAGATTGTCCACCCTGAGAAGTTCCCCGAGCTGCAGGCGGCCACCCCCTGCTTCCCACCTGCCCCCCGGCCCACCCCGGCTCTGGCACCCAAGCGCGCCTGGCCCTCAGACACGGAGATCATCGTCAACCAGGCATGCGGAGGGGACATGCCCGCCTTGGAAGGGGCACCCCGCACCCCGCCCTTGCCGCGGCGGCCCCGGAAGGGCAGCTCGGCCGAGCTGGGCTTCCCCCGGGTGGCGCCGGTGGACGAGGTCATCGTGAATCAGTACGTGATGCGGCCTGGTCCCGCCGCCTCGGGCGCCCCCGCGGTGGCGTCCCCGGCTGCGGGGGAGCCCCTGGAGTGCCCGACCTGCGGGCACACGTACAACGTCACCCAGCGGCGGCCGCGCGTGCTGTCCTGCCTGCACTCCGTGTGCGAGCAGTGCCTGCAGATCCTCTACGAGTCCTGTCCCAAGTACAAGTTCATCTCCTGCCCCGCCTGCCGCCGCGAGACTGTGCTCTTCACCGACTACGGCCTGGCGGCGCTGGCCGTCAACACATCCATCCTGAGCCGCCTGCCGCCCGAGGCGCTGACCGCCCCGTCTGGCGGGCAGTGGGGGGGTGAGCCCGAGGGCAGCTGCTACCAGACCTTCCGGCAGTACTGCGGGGCCGCCTGCACCTGCCACGTGCGGAACCCGCTGTCGGCCTGCTCCATCATGTAGCGCCCGCCTGCCCGCTGCCGCCGCCACCGCGCGCCTCCGCCCGCTGGTCCTTGCGCTGCTGCTTCAGGGGTCCGGCCCTGCCATGTCCCCCTCTGAGCCCTCACCCGTCACAGCTTCTGGTCCCCACCTGTGTGGCATTCTTGCTGCAGCCAACTTTGCCATTAAAACGCCGCCAAAGTTTGCAGCTTGTCTCTGGACTGAAGCCCACTGCAGTGGCCTACACCCTGAGTTGGGGCGGGCAACAGCGCAGCCTAGGAGGGCCCGCCCACGCTGGGCCTGGCACGGCGTGGCGTTGGTTTCTCTGCTTGCCAGCCAGGCCGGGCCCCGCTGTATGTGCGTACCCCGCCCCACAGCTGTGCAGAGGCAGCTGCCTGTGTGCGCCAGCCTGGGTGCACGGGCGGGTGTGCAGAGTGGGCCCAGCTGGGCCCGGAGAAATTATGTGTGCACAAGCTTCTGCACGTGGGGGTGGCCGTGTGGGGGGCAGCCCGGTCTGCGTGCCTCCTGGTGAACAGCTGACCCCCTGAGGCTGTATGGGAACGACCTTTCGGGCCAACGCAAAGAGTTGGGGTCAGGAAGTGGCTGGCCACAGTTGTGACAGGGTGCAAGGACCGGGAGCCACCTCTGTGGCAGTCGGGTGACCCGGACTCGGAGAAGGAGGCTTGGCAGGGCTGTGGAGCGGGGCTGCAGGGATGGAGACGAAGGGTGACGGTGAGGACGGCTGTGGGGCAGCCGTGTTTGCAGCGGCTGCTGCCGTTCACTGCGAGCCGCTTCCTGGGCCGGCCTGGTGCATGGCGCGTCACGACGAGCCCATGAGGCGGTGCCGTGCCTGTGTTCTGCCCTTCCCGTGAAGGCCCCGGCCTCCAAGGCGGGAGGCTGCAGGCCGTCCGTGGCTGCAGCTCAACACTCCAGCTCAAGGCCTGGCTGGGACCTTGTTCCTTGGAGCCCAGGGGCGTATGCCAGGCCCCCAGACACTCGTGATGCCCCCTTGGGCCGTGCCCCGGCTGGGAATGAGGCCCTCTGTGGGCTGAGTTTGCACAGCAAGAGCCTCTACCCCGCGCCGCCCTGACCTTCAGGGCAGACACACTGGCCCTTATGGGAGACACGGGCAGGAGCGGGTGGGGGAGGCCTGCAGCCCAGCCCCAGGCCCCGCCCTCTCGGAGGACTCAGGCCCGCAAGTCTGTGTCTCCTGTGCCTCTCACAGGCCCCCCCCCCACCGCAGGAGGGGTGGGGGGACAGCCCGTGTCAGTGTGGGGCCTGGGTCGAGTGCACGGGGCCTGGCTGGTCTCTGTCAGTGCTGTCCTCAGCACTGCCGGGAGAGCAGGGCGGCTGGGGGGCCCTGGCTGGGTCAGGAGCTGAACACAGGCTCCCGGGTGGCCCTGGGCCCAGCCTTGGGTCTTGACTGAAGGATTAGCGCCTGGTTGACCTTGGAATTTTCCGCCTGGCTATCAGGCCTCGGGGTGAGAAGCTTCTCAGGGGCAGGCCCCACGGCGCCAACACTTCCAGACATGGCCAGCCTGAGTCTCCGGGCTGGTGGTGCTGGGAGCCCATGCGGCAGCCCTGCTCAGTGGCCGGAGCGGCCCAGCAACGCGAAGAGCAGCCCCAGCAGCACGAGTGGCGTGAAGATGAGCAGCAGGCCCAGCAGCTCGAGGGCCAGCAGGCCCAGCAGTGCCAGGCGGCGGGCGCAGGGCCCCCGCTCCCGCAGGGCCCAGAGCCAGGCACCCAGGCGGGGCGGGCAGGGCAGGAACGGCAGGCAGCCCCGGCCGCCCACGGGCCCCGCCAGGAAGCGCAGTCGGTAGCGGTGCTCCAGGGAGGCCCAGGGCCCGGGGCCCCGGGTAGGGGGTGCAGGGGGCACGGGGCTCGGGGGCCGTGGGGGCCCATCGGCCTGCAGCAGCTCCTCCTGCAGCCGGCAGACCTCCCACTCCAGCATGGGCGTCTTCTGGCGGCACAGTGGGCAGCGGGCCGCGCCCAGGTCAGCGCCGGGGGCCGTGCCCAGCAGCTGGTGCAGGCAGCTGGCGCACAGGCCATGGCCACAGTTCAGCAGGGCCAGGCGGTGCTCCCCAGGCCCGTAGGGCTCCGTGCAGATGGGGCACTCCTCCTCCCCGTCCTCCTCCCGCCCCGTGGGCCCGGCCTGGGGGCCGGCCGCAGCCGTGGCCCCCAGCAGGGGCTCGAAGTCCAGAGTCCCGGCATCCCAGGGGGTCCCACGGGCCTGGCTGTCTAACCTCTGCTCTGCCAGCACCTGGGCCGGTGGGCCCAGGGAGGCTGAAGGTGGGCCAGGGGGCCCGCAGCTGAGATCTGTGGGGCCACGAGGAGGGGCTCTGGGGCAGGAGTCAGGGTGTGTGGGGCGGGACCCCAGGGTGGCAGTGGGATGAGGGGCCGTGAAGGTCACTGTGGCCTCTGGGGCCAGGGCAGGGTCTGGCACTGACCTTGTGGCAGCCACCGCCCTACCGGGCTCCACGCCCCCGTCGAAGGTAAACCTCCCTGAGGCCTCGGGCTGTGCTGGCTCCCCGCTCCGGGCCCTCCCCTGCCGTCCCCACCGGGTCCACCCAAGCCTGGCTGCAGCCACGGCCCACCCGGGTCGGGGACTGACCTAGGCGAACGGGTTCCGGGCCACTGCAGCGTGGGGAGGCCGGCCGGCCCAACTGCTCCGACAGGAACCTGGGCAGCAGGGAAGGCCCGTCCCAGGGCGGACCAAGGCCGGCCCCTCCCCCCTGCCCCTTCCTGGCTCTCAGGCCACACCCCCTTCCTCTGTGGCCTTGGGTCCTGCTCCCAGGCCGAGGGATGGGCCACACCAGCCTGGCCAGGTGACCCCCCCATTCTTCCTTCCTGCAGTCCTCTCTAGACCACCCCCCACCCACAGAGCTTGTACAAGGGGGGCACACCATGGGCCCCCACCACGTGAGAACCAGACACCCAAGTGTTGCAGATGAGGTGGCTGAGCAGTGGTGCCCACGTCCCCACCACCCCGCCACCCCTAGGGGCTGCAGGCCCACCGCCCCTGAGGCCCAGGGACCGCGGGAGGAGGAAAGGTCGGGAGCAGCCGCCCTGCACCCGCCGTTTATTGCCGAGACTCCCTGGAGCCGGGTGAGGGTGGCGTGTGCTGGCCGGGGCCTCGCTGCCTGCACCTGGGCCCCGAGGGGCGCTGGGGGCGCTTGGTGGCCGGAGCGGCACATGCATGGCAGAGGATGAGTGGGAGCCCACCGCCGCCCAGGGCAGAGGAGGGGGCACTCGGCTCTGCCACGGGCCCTGCACCCCAAATCCCTCCGCTGTCTGGAAGCTGGTGGTCAGGAAAGCTCCCTGAGGCCCGTCGGGCTGCCGGTGCCTTCCTGGGTCAGCACCTCAAGCAGGACCCGAGGTGGGGCCAGTGGGGAAAGGCCAGCTGGGGCCAGCTGGGGCCAGAGGCCGGGCGGCGGTGGGGCTGGGGCAGAGTGGAGGCCCCCAGACAGCGTGCAGCTGTGCAGGGGAGAGGGCCTCCCCCCGCTGGGCGGAGTCCGACAGGGCAGTGGGCCGTGGCCGTCGGGGGCCGGCAGCTCCTCAGGCCCACGTCTCGGTCTGGAAGCGCAGCGTGCGCTGCAGCTGGGCCAGGTAGGTGGCCGCGTCGGGGCCCGAGAGCCCGCCCTCCTCCTGGAAGATGGACGTCAGGGCTGCGGACACGTCTGCTGGCATGTACTTGGCGTGGCTGGAGGAACAGGCCGGACAGGGCTCAGCGCAGCCTGGGTGCCCCGCGGGCTGGGGCCCCCTCGCCGCCCCCGCACCCCGGCTCACCCTGCCAGGTAGAAGCAGGCACCCTGGCGGTCCAGCAGCTCCCACACCAGCGGCCCGCGCTCACGCAGCCTGTGCTGCACGTACACCTTCTGCTCCTGCAGGGTGGGCTGCGTGAGTCTGGACCCCGGCCCGGCCCCGGCCCCGGCCCCGCCCCCGGGCCCCGGCCCCGCCCCACCCTCCGCACACGCCCACCTGCTCCCGCGAGAATGCCGCGACCAGGGTCAGGCAGCCTCTCTTCTCCAGCTCGGTCCACTCGGCCTCCCAGTAGAAGTCCTGGTCCCGCCGGCGGCAGCCGAAGAACAGGAGGTTCCCTGGGGAGGGCAGGGGCCTCGAGTCTGGACTCCTCCTCGGCCCACCCTGCCCCCACCCTCCCATGCACCCTGCACACTCACCCCTCTGACCCTGGGCCACTCGCTCCTGGACGGCTGCTCGGAAAGGGGCCACCCCAGTGCCAGGCCCCACCATTATCACGGGTGTGTCTGGAGTCTGCGGGAAGGCCAGGCCCCCTGGCCGCGCCCACAGGGGCACTCGGACCGGGCCTGTTGCAGGAGGGAGGTGGCGTGAGGAGGCCTGAAGGACCAGGGCCCGAGCCCAGGCCGCCCCCCAGAGAGCAGGGATCACCTTGCCCAGGGTCCAGAGACGCCAGCCAGGAGGAGCAGAGGCCCCGCCGGGGCTCCTTGAGGCGAGTCTGGTACTGCACCACAGCCACGAGGATCTGCAGCCTCGCCGGGCGGGCCTGGGGGGGACGGGACAGTGGGTGCCTGCCCACGGAGCTGCCAGCCCGCCCCCCAGCCCACGCGGACCCTCACCAGCAGGGAGGAGGCGATGGAGAAGGCTCGCGGCCGGATCGGGGGGATGAGGTCCAGCAGGTAGTCCGGGGGGACGGCTGCGGCCGTGTGCGGAAAGTCCGACAGCACCTGCAGGGACACAGCCTCAGGAGGGCCGCACCCGCGGGGCCCCCGGAGCCCCCGGGCTGGGCACCCCGCCGCCCGCCGGGCCCCACCTCCAGGGCGGTCCTGCGGGGCCGCGTGCAGTACTCATGCAGGGCCTCCTGGCCCGCAGCTGAGCTGAGCTCCAGCAGCTTCTCCCGCTCCAGCGCGTGGGGGGACAGGCAGGCCAGGAGCTCGAAGAAGGAGCGCCGCGGCACGCTGGCGATGTCCAGGTACTTGGACACGAGGTGCCGCACGGAGCAGGGCTGGGGCAGCCTCTCGGGGCAGGGGGAGCCTGCAGCGGGGAGCAGGAGACGGTGGGGGTCTGGGGACTCGGGGACTCGAGGGAGGGCGGGGAACGAGGGCGGTGGCCGGGACCGGGGCTCACCTGGCTCCCGAGGCTGCAGCACGAAGCGCTGGTCGGGGTCCAGGCCCAGCACCTGGCAGAACTGCTGGACGTGTCGGGCCGTGTTCTCGGGCTGGATCAGCACCACGTCGCCGGCCACAAAGCTGGGCGGGAAAGCCACGGCCGGCGTGGGAGGACGCTGGGGCTCGAGGGTGCCGCGGAGGACCGAGCCGGGGTGTGTGTGTGTGTGGGGGGAGCGCTGGGCCTGGGCTGCGCCCTGCCGAGCGCCTGTACTGGCTTGGGGGGTGGGGTGGGGAGGGGGGCCCCCCCGCTGCCTCAGCCGTGCCCTCCGCGGTCCCCGGGTCGGACTCGGCCGCCCGAGGGGCGTCTCCAGCCCTTCTCACCTGATTCCCGAGCCCGCAATGTCGAACTCGATGAGACGAACGTCCTGGAAGTGCGAGGGGCCCGTGACCCGCTGGTTGGCGACCACAGGAGCCAGGAAGGGCTGCAGCTCGGAAGGGGGACTCGGAGGGTCCGTCCCGGCCACCTGCCGCTCCTCGGAGCACGGCCCGGGGGCCTCCTGAAGGAACCGCAGGGTGAACTTGGACGGCAAACTGCAGAGGGGCAGGTGCTCGTCAGACCGGCAGCAGGCCTGGGGAGGGCCCCGCGGGCCCCGTGGCCAGGCTCATCTGCTGCACCCGTGGGTGCCGAAGCCCCAGGGCCCACACTCACGGGACTTCCGGGGGGATCACGCCGAGGCCGAGGGGCATGGGGTGCAGCTCCAGCACCTTCTCCCACAGGCTGTGCAGCCAGGGGTCGATGGCGGCGTCGGGCCTGCGGGGAGGGCACAGGTGCTCGCCGGAGGAACCCCGCTCCTGGCCGGCCCGCGGGAGGCACCCCGTGCACACTCACCCCAGCTCATGCTGGTCGTCGCCCAGGCACACGGGCAGGAGGGCGGTGCCCCCGAGCTGCAGCAGCCGGCGGTGCAGCTTCTTGGCCACGAAGTTGAACCTGTGTGGAGAGGGAGGCTGCTGCGGCTGCCCAGCTGGGGGCCCCACGGGGCGGGGGGCCGGCTTGTGGACAGCGAGGGCGCTGGTGTCCTGTGACCCGACGCTGCGGGCTCACCTGGGAAATCACCCAAAGTAACACCCCTCTGCCCAGAACAAGACGTGGTGTGGAGACGCCGAGAGTATCCGAGGTGGTGACAGCACTGTCACCAGGGACGGGGTGCCTTGGGTGGCTCCCCAGCCCAGAGTCTGCTGGGGGTCCTGGAGGCCGGGTCACCTGTCCCCCAACACCTTGCACTCAACCCGAGGACAGGGCCCCTGGCCAGCAGCCTGGCCTGCCCCTACTCACTTGGTGTAAGAGGAGTCCCCGAGGCCCAGGACGGCAAAGTCCATCTGGCAGAGGGAAGTCGGCGGCAGGTTCTTCCGGAATATGAACCTCCAGAAGCTCTACGGCCAGAAGGAACTGGGTTTGCAGCCCTGCTCCGGGCCCCGAGGGCCCAGGTGGGTGCTGGGGGGGGGTGCTGCGTCCCTGGCCTTCCCAGGCTCTGCACTAGCCCCCCCCCCCAGGGGCCGCCTCTCATTTTATCACAAGGGCAAGAAACGTGGAAGAGGGGGAGAACCGTGAGAAAGTCGCCCCCAGCCCGCACCTGAGAGCGTGGGGCTCCGTCCCCACCCCGGGCAGAGGGCTCTGGGCGTCTCCCTGGGGTGCGGGCTGGGGAGGCCGGAGGACTGCTGGGTCCTCGTGGGATGGGCACTGCCCTCTCCCCCGACCTCTCCCCAGGCTGACGGAAGCGCTTGCTCTGACTTGGGTCCCCGGAAAGGCTCCTCTCTCTTCTCACCGAGAGCCCCAGGTCCCTGGAGCTCCTCCACCCTCGGCCTCAGTGCGGGCTGGGGCTCGGCTGCAGCTCTGGGCTGCGAGACCTCGCCTTCTCTCCCCTGGAGCTCCGCCGCCCGCCCCCGGGCCCCGGGCCCCGAGCCACATTGGCTGGCTGTGCGCTGGCCCAGGGCCCCCGGGGCCACTGGAGGTGCTTCTAAAGCACCTGGGCCCCTCCCCCTCATCCCATGCCTCACCCAACTGAGGCCACCGGGGCGGGTGGGCCCTGGCCCTGTCAGCCCCGCTCCGCCCCCTGGCCTTCCCAAGGACTTTGCTGCACAGGCCATCGGCCAGTGCTGGGGACCACGCCTGCCCGGTGTCCTGAGACCTTGGTTTCCGGAAGCCGGCGAAGGACTCCCCCCAGGGCGCCTCCCGAGAAGGACCCGGGGAGATGGAATGCTCGTGACCCAGCGCACCCTCGTGCTCTCCACGCGGACTGCTGGCCGGGGCGCTGGGGGGAAGCCGCATCCCTGAGACCCCCAGGCTCTGCCGTGAGCTGGCCCAGAGGGGCAGTCACGGCCGAGGGGCCGGAGTTCCTCGGCCCCCGTGTCCCCCACAGCTGAGGCCTGTGAGGACGAGCCGGGTGGGCGGCCTCCGCACTTCCGGTGGCCCCTGCCTGGGCACGTGGGAGGCTGCGTGTGCTTTCCGGGGTGACTTCCTCCCTGCTCTCCCGCCTCTGCAGCCGCCGGAGCGACCTTGGACTCTGAATGTATTCTTTCTCGTTTCTAGCTTATTTTTTGTTACACTTCTCGGGAGACTTTCTGAACTGTCCACCTCCTCAAGTTTTCCTGGTGTCATTTCAAAGAGCGTCTGTGGGTCACCAGCACCGGCCCCGGGGGCCAAGGCCGGTCCCTCTGCAGGCAGCGCCCTACTACCGCCCTGGCTGCTCCTCCGGGCCAACTGCCCCCAGGCCTTTCCCACAGCGTCCGCTGGCTCCCCGTGGTCCGTCTGTGCTCCAGAGGCCAACAGGAAGGCACGAGTTTGGGCCCATCTCCCCGTGGGCTTTGTGGCTGGGAGACAGGGCAGGGGCCTGGCTGCCCAGCCACCCACTGCCATCACTGGGTCCCCAAGTGCTCCCCTGGCCGCTGCCTGGGGGTGCACACCTGGCCAGAAGGTTCTCGGGGCTGCGACACGGAAGCTAGTGTCTTCCCACTGGGCACACAGCTGCTCGTGGGGCCTGGTGTGACGAGCCCCCGCCTGTGTGTCCTCAGGCCTCAGTCCCTGCTGCGTGGGGCAGGCCCCCTCGTGACCACCCCGGAGGGTGCCCGGCCCTGCATTCTGCCCTCCTGCGCCCACCCTCATCCCAGGGTGCACGCCACCAGCGTCTGACACTGAGCCTGCACCTCCGCCCTGACAGCCCAGGCCGGCCCAGCCCAGTGGTGGGTGGTCTCCAGCCCCTGCCTGCGCCCTGCACTTCTCACACCCACCTGCCACCTCTGGCCTTTGGTCGCCTCCGACCTGCCTTCTCCTCTGAGGAGACCCGGCGCTGAGGTCCTGCCCCCGGGTCTCCCACATCGCTCCACTGCGACCCTGTTCCTCAGTCCTCGCCGCCAGCACTGAAGCTGGCCCGAGTTGCTCCTTTCTTATGGGGGTCTTCTTTGTACCACCCCAGCCCCGTCCACAGCAGAAGCCTTTCTGAGCTCTTCCCTGCAGACTCCCTTCCGCCCTCGCTCATCAACCACCCGTGACCCCGTTATCCAGTTTCTCTCTCCAAGAGCCTCGGGGGCTGCTCTCCCCCGGGTCGCCGGTCCCTGCACTGATAGGGTCGCCGGTCCCTGCACTGATAAGCTCCGTTGGCGCCCCTCCGGCCTTATCTCACTGCCCCGCAGCTCTGAGTAGGGAGACCTTCCCCTCGGGACGGCCACCACCCCGCCCTTGAGCACTCACGTGGTGTGCTCGCTCTCTCGCTGCTGGGGCCACCCTCCTGGCCCCTCACAGCCTGTCAGCGGGGGAGGGTGGCACTCTTTTGTCAGGCTTCGTATTTGAGCCTCTCCAGCACCTACCCTCCGGCCCACCCCCGGCCCCCGCAGTCCTGGATCCTCGCTGCGGCTCCAGACCCACCTTGCATCTCCACCTGGGCGACTCCCTCGCTAGCATATCTCCGCGCCAGCAGCCACCCTCCCTCCTGGTACCGGAGCCTGAACCTCTGTTTCAGTAGTCCCACCTCCCTCCTCATCTCGGAGACGGGCTGGATTCCGCATCCTGCCCAGCCGCCCTTGGTGTCTGTGGAACGTGCCCACGTTCGGCGTCTTGCCGGCACCGTGCACTCGGTGCTGTCCTGCCCTCCTGCAGACCGGTGGTGGTTCTCCTAGGACCTGAATGTGGCCGTCTCCCTGTGGCTCCCGGGCCTTGCTTCCCTCCTCGTGTCCCTCCTCCCCAGCACGCCACTTGGCTCGGCCCTCCTGAGCTGCTTTGGCTCTTCCCAGAGGCTGGGCTGTCGTTGTCCCTGGCACAGGCCGCTCCCTCTTGGCTGGGGCTGAGCTATCCCCCGTGTCTTCAGGGCTGAGCCCACACTCCCGTCTGCTGGAAAGCTGTCCCTGAGCCCCCAGGTTAACACTCCCACAACGCCTGGCACTTCCCCCTGCTGTGCGGGTTTCCCGCCCTGTGACTGCCTGTTGCGCCTGCTGCTTCTCCTTGCTGTTGGCTCCCTGAGGGCGGAGCTGTGGCTCCTGGCTTCATCGCACTGGACCCCTGGCACTAGATCATGCTTGAAATGTAACGTGTGCCCAAGAGATGGTCAAAGAATTGAACAATGCCCCCTGAAGGTCAAACAATTCTGAAACACACAGAAAACCCAGCTTCATACATAACCCTGGAAAAATACAAAAACTTAAAACGGTGACCTGTGAAGAGTTTATTAAGGACAATAACCAGAGGCCACGGCCCCGCCCCAAAACGTCCTCTCAAACCCTCGGCTACCGGGCACCATTGAAAAGGGCAAGTATTCGTCGTGCTTCTCAGAGCCACCAGGCGATGAAAACGGGGTGAGGGGCCAGGGCTGGGGTCTGAGCTCCCAAGCACAGGGAGCCACTTCATGTGGGCCTTACCTTCATGTTGTCAGGGGGGTCTCCTTGGCCTGTGGTCGCACAAACAAATATCACCAGGGGCTCATTAATCAGGTTTGCCTCAACAAAAAAACACAGGTGTAAGAGCGCAGGCTGTAGGGACCAGGCACCCGTCCCGCAGCCGGGCCCCTCTCCTTCGCTCAGAGTGTCAGGGCAAAGGGACCGAGGGGGCACCGCGAGCCCCGGCCTTCCCCCTGTCTCTGTCTCCCCCTGTCCCCTCCTCCAGATGATGCTAAGGTGACTGCTGTTTCCAAGCGTCTCCGTCCCCTCCGTCCTCCGTAACGGACGGGTCCACTCTCAGACAAAACGCGGCGCCCTGCGGTCGCTCTGGGGGCCGGCGCCCCCGGCACGCTCGGTGTCCCTACCCACGCCCAGGGAGCCCTCACCACTGGGTAGGAGTCCAGCGCCTGCACCCGGCACTCAAGATGCCGGCGCCGGGCTTCGCGGCCCAGCCTCTCCGACACATCCTGGGCCGTGCCCGTCTGGCTGCCGAAGAGGACCAGCAGGCGTGGGCTCGGCATTGGGGCGTCTCTGCGCCCCGGAGACCCCTGCACCCAGGAACTGGAGCAGGCGGTCGGGACCGGCTCCGACTTCCGTCTTCCGGTGTCTACAGGAAGTGACGTCATTGGCCAGCGCCCGACGGGGCATGGCGTCCGACCCGGGCGGGCGTCCGTTGGCGGCCAGTGCTGGGTCTCGGGCCGGGGTCTGGAGGTCCGCGGCGGGCTGGGACCGAGAGCCGGGGCAGGCGGGGCTGCTCGTTGCCTCTCGTTCGCCGCGGCTGGCGTCAACGGAGCCCGCGGGGAGAAGAGGCGCGGCCCGGTTGGAGGGGCTCTCGGCTGGGCCCGGGCCCGCGCTCAACCGGCGCGATGCTCTTTTCTCTCCGGGAGCTGGTGCAGTGGCTGGGCTTCGCCACCTTCGAGATCTTCGTACACCTGCTGGCCCTGCTGGTGTTCTCCGTGCTGCTGGCACTGCGTGTGGACGGCCTGGCCCCCGGCCTCTCGTGGTGGAACGTGTTCGTGCCCTTCTTCGCCGCTGACGGGCTCAGCACCTACTTCACCACCATCGTGTCTGTGCGCCTCTTCCAGGACGGAGAGAAGCGGCTGGCCGTGCTCCGCCTCTTCTGGATCCTCACGGTTCTTAGCCTCAAGTTTGTTTTCGAAATGTTGTTGTGCCAGAAGCTGGTAGAGCAGACTCGGGAGCTCTGGTTTGGCCTGATCACGTCTCCAGTCTTCATTCTCCTGCAGTTGCTCATGATCCGCGCCTGCCGGGTCAACTAGCCTCGCAGAGTGGCCGGAGAGGGAGCGCTCCACAGCGAGAATGCCGGACCCCAAGCTGAGGACTACTCCCTGGAAGTGTGAGGAGCCAGCCTTCCACCGCAGCGGGGGAGAAGTCCGGGTCTGGAAGCAGCGCCAGCCTGTGCCCTGCAGAGTACCCAGCTTTCTGTGTGTCAGTTATGCCTGAAACTGTTTTCAGCAGGAATGAGAAGATGTATTTTCTGTTATTTTATGCTTCGAGTAGCTAATCCCGAATGGAAATCGTGAGAAGGGCCCCAGGCCAGACAGCCCTGAACTCCTCGGACAGCTGGAAATTGCGTATAAGTAAAATGTCCTAATGGGCTCTGCGTATTTTCATGGACCCTGGGAAAGTACTCTTGTGCAGAGACTGCAGAGACAGCCAGCATCGCTGACCTAGGAGCCCACTGTCCCATTCACCCAGAGGAGACTTCTTTAGACATTTGGGCTCTAAAACGTAAAAGCCAGCTTGCATCTCCTCCCCTGTGCCACTGGGGACAGGTGGCCCTTCCGTCATTCCAGCCAAGGCAGACAGGACTGTGTTGAGTAAGCATGATCAGGGCCCTGTCTGGTGATCTGTCACCTGAGAAAAGAACTTTGCTTTAAAGGCTCTGCTTGACTTCCTAGCCCAGCTGATCACAGTATCTCGACTCTGCCACCACCTTGTGGCCGGCAGCATTAGCGCACCTGAGACCCACTGAGGCCCCACTGAGGGACAGAGAGAGGAACAGGTGTTCCGATGCCCCCAGGCATGGAGACCTGCAAGTGGGAGGTTTGCGAATGGTCTCAGCCCACATGTGTCGGCCCGAGGGCTTTGGTTTGATACCAGTCAGGTGCCAAATGAGAATATTTGCTGAGATTAAAATAAAATAAGAGAATGTTTTGCTGAACCCCATAGTGGTTGCCTGACCTACTGGGAGTGAAATCAAACGAGCGCCGAGACACTTCCTGCTGTGCGGTGTGGGTGGGTGGGCGGGTTTCCCTGGGAGAGTTCCTACCTCCTGCCGTGGGGGCTGACCGGAAGACGCAAGGCAGGCCCTTGCTGAGGTCCTACCGAGTCGTTTGTGTGACATCAGAGCCTGGACGTCCGACCAGCACGCGGTGTTTGTGGACCTTGCTGCCACTCTGTAGGAAAGTGTATTTGATAGACAGCAGGTGTGGCTGCAGTGTGCGGGTTCTCTCCGCCTCACCACTGCTGGTCTTTTGGGTAGGGTCATCCTTCATCGCAGGGGGGGCCCTCCCGAGCATTGCAGAATATTTAGCTGCATCCCTGGCCTTTACTCACCAGATGCCAGTAGCGTCTCATTTGTGACAGCCAAAAGTGTGTCCAGACATTGCCAAGTCTTCTGGAAGAAAAATGTCCCTGGGGAGCAGTGTAGGCCTTGACAACCCAGGTTTGTGGACCCGTGTTCCAGGGCTGCAACTTTGTGACCCCTTGTTGAGGGTGCGTGCTGTGTTGCTTGAGTTGGAGACGGGTCTGGTCTGTCCCAGAGCCACAGAGATGTCTCCGGAGTGACATGACGTGTGCCGAAAGCCAGACACCAGCTGAGCATTTGCAGTGGGTTTCCTCTGAGTGTCGTTTTTAGCTTGCACATTTGTCATTCCCCTGTTTGCATTCCGGTAATTCGGCATTAGGGAGTCCCGTCGCTGTTACAGGTGATGAGCATAAGAAGGTTTAGCTTTTCTGGGAAAGGCGATTCACTGCCATGGCATCCAGACAGTGAGAAGGGCGCCTCTGGTTGAAACCTGCCCTGGGTGCCCTTGGAACTCCTCCCCTAAAGGGTGAATGGTGTGGGAGGCGGTGGTGTCGTTTCTGAGCAGCCGCTGACTGCAGGGCAGGTATGGAAGGCAGCTGACATCTCCCCGTATCGGTGCTCCCCTTCTCCCGGGGGCAGATTTCCCTTCTCCCCTTGGCCCCAGCAGACCTGGAAGAGTGGGTGGGCCCCGGGCAGCCCTCACTGGGAGTGATCTTCCTCATGGCGCTTGGACAGGGAGGCCGTGTTCTCAGGGTCAGGAGACCCCTACCAGCCTTGGGATGCAGGAAGTTCAACAGTAGCTTGGGGAACACATGGTCTGGCTTTTGTGGCTCTTCCTGCAGCAGAGAGCTGTGCTCCTGCTTGTCTGCGGAGAGGGAGGGAGTCCCCTTCCCTCTGTGCCTCCTCACAGTTTCTGGAGTCCTGTCCACGCCCTGTGGGCCCCGGATGGCCAAGTGTGGGGTGAGCTTTTCCCACCTGTTTGAGCAGCACACTCAGTTCTGGGGCAGCAAAGCCAGGGATTCCTGAGAGACCGATCCCTCAGCACTGGCGGGGCTCTAGCATCGGCATCTCTGCTAAGTCCCGCAGGGGACAGAGGACCGCAGGTGGGCAGTCCATGGGCCAGGAGGGGCCTGGACCGGGAGGCGCGAGGCTGGTGTGCAGCCTGTGCATCACCCACGAGAGCGGGGATAGCCTTTTGGTCCGGGCAGGCCCTTCCTCCACTGCGCTCTCGGCATGGGGAACAGGCAGGCTGGGTGCTGGCACCAAGAGGAAGGACCTGGCCGGGCCAAGGTCATCCGCGACGTGGAGCGCAGGGGTCCGTCTCCTGCAGCCAGCCAGGACCTGCCCCCGCTGGACTCCAAGCCTCCGCCCCGCCCCGAGAACCAGACTAGGTGCAGAGGCGGAAGTGGGGGCCGCCAATGAGCCGCTCCAGGTGTCGGGGGCGTGTTCAAGGGGGCCTTCCCCAGTGGGGGGTTGGCTCTGGTGAAGACGCTGTCCAATGAGATCCTCTGGGGGTGGGGCTAGGGAGAACATTCTCCAATCAGGTAGGCCAGCCATCCTCGCCTACTATAGGTGGGGCTGCCTGGTATGGGGCGGGCCTGAGCGGGCCTCCCCCAATAGGCAGCCCCCGCAGGGAGGTAGGGAGTGGCCGAGGCGCAAAGGCCCGCGGCGGGTGGTGGCCGCAGTTCCCAGCGAGCGCTGGCTCGGGCGGCCGCTCCGCACCATGGCAGGCCTGGGGCGGCCGGGCCCGGGACCCCGCGCGGCGATGCCCGCCTGGAAGCGGGAGATCCTGGAGCGGAAGCGGGCCAAGCTGGCGGCCCTGAGCGGGGGCGCTACGCCCGGGGCTCGGCCGGACGCAGCGGGACCAGCGGAGCCGGTGGAGGAGCGGCTGGTGCTGGCTGATAGCCTGGGCCCACTGCGAGAGAACCCATTCATGCGGCTGGAGTCGGAGCGGCGGCGCGGGGCGCGGCGCGGCGGGAGCGCGGGCGCGGCGGGAGCGCGGCCGGTGCAGCAGCTGCTGGAGCTGTACAGCCGCGTGCCAGGTGTGCGCACCATCCGTGCCGAGAACATTCTCATCATTGAGTCGGCGCCCGGCTTCCCACCTGCCGTCCCCGGCCCTGACACTGGCCCAGCGGCCCGCATCTGCGCCGCCGAGGTAGTGGTGTACGAGGCGCCGGCGCCGCCCGGCCGCGTCAGCCGTCTACTCCAGAAGTTCGACCCGCCGACTGCGCCGCACCGTCGCGGGAGCCCGGAGCGCAGTCGCCCCTTGCCGCCGCCACCGCCGCCGCAGCCACCCTCCCCCGGCCCAACTGGCCCGCGGGTGGGCGAGCGCGTCGCCTGCTTCGAGTCTGAGCGCCTCGGCGCAGGCTCCGGGGCCCGACGCAGCGACTTCCTGCAGAAGACCAGCAGCAACTCCTTCACCGTCCATCCCCGCGGCCTGCCCCGCAGTTCGGGCACTCGCTCTCTCCCCAACGGGCCCGCGGCCCCAGAGTCCCGGGCCGGCGCTGCCAACTGCATTGCAGGCTCTGCATTTGGGCCCAGCCAGTGCAAGCCAAAGGTGGAGTCGGGGGAGTTCCCCGCCCACCCGTCCCCCAGTTCCGGGACCTCCAGTGCCACCCCAGCTCCGTCTCCAACCTTGCCCATGCCCAGCCATGCCAGTGCCACTCCCAGCCAGCGCCAGTGGGTCTCCTCAGCCACTAGCGCCAACGACTCCTTCGAGATCCGGCCAGCCCCCAAGCCAGATATGGACACAATTCCCGCCGAGGACCTGCAGGCCCGGGCCCTGGCCAGCCTCCGCGCGAACTCTCGAAACTCCTTTGTGTTCATCCCCAAGCGCAAGGCCTTCGGAACAACTCCCCCCAGAGGGAGACCCTCTGTGCGGGCCCCCGAGACAGAGGTGGTCTGGGCTTCCCAGGGCTCCCAGAGTGGAGCCCAGGCAGTGGCTGGGACGGACAGAGAGCCTGTCAGTGGGAGGGGCCCCTTGGGGGTCCAGGAAGGGGCCTGCCCCAGGCCGGCCACCGCCCTAGTGGACCGGGCTGTCAGGTGGCCGAGGCCATCCTCCCCACCGCCACCCCCATC